ACGAAAACAGGGAGACAAACGTCCGCATGTAAAGAGAATCCGACATTTCATACGCACCAACCGAATATTTTATTGAGCACATTCAAAACAAAACAGTTTACAATCATTCTTTAATAACGACAATCAATAAGATAAATAAATATTTTAATTCTAATTTACTTTAATAAAATTAATTTAATAACTGTCAAGTAACCTCGTGTAAAAATATTGATGCTTTTTTATGTTATTCATAAATTAATATAATATATACAGTTATATATATACATATATATATATAAAGTTCATTTAAAAAACAATGAAAACTCATAATAGATTAATCTTTAGCTCTTAAGAAGTCGATATAACAATACAAATGTGTTAGCATTTATGTATGCTGTTGGTTATCATATGTATAATACTCGTAGGAATGGATTTCTTTAAAACTTTCCGCAATAGCTTGACAATAGGCGTCACGTTTGATGCAGCTTGACTAAAACGTTGATATTACAAGCTTTTAAACATGTTATTTGAGCTTGATTGTCAATAGAATAACATTCATTTCGTAGATTTATATTACCCTAAACACCTTAGGATTATGTTGTCAAGTCTCGTAGAATATTTTAATTATATTCTAATGTACAACATAAACAATTACGAAACATCTTCCTGTTCAACTGTGTCATGAAAACGTATCAATGAACAAAGAAACACAACCCCGTTGTGACCGGCAACGATTCGTTATATTTCGAGCTCATCTTTTATTCATTTATTATCCTCATAAATATTCCGTATGAATAAAAATTTAATAAAAAACAGTTTCCTCAAATATTTTTTATTCATAGAACCTTAAATGTTACAAAAAAAAGTATTATAAAACAAGCAAATATATTTTCGTATAAATACATGTCTGTAAGTTATTAATTAATACGCGAAGTTGTTATTACGACCAGGAAAGAGTTAATAACATGACTTTTTAAGGAACACTATGAGATGAATCTTATTAATATTATTAATATATGATTAAAATTTTGTACATTGTTAATTTTTAAAGCATACATATTAATAGCCAAACTCTTCCTCAGTATGACAATGGTTACTTGTATAATTGAAAATTCAGATCGAAACAGGAAAATGAAATGTTGATTAATCTGTTGTCTGTCTGTGAATCTCAAGAAAGGCTTTCTTAGAAACACTTGTAGGTGAAGTTCACTATTATATGCCAAGGTTTGAAGCCTTCGCTGTTTTTAAAATCAAGAATTTTGGTCGACACATAATATAAGTATATTTTCTCTAGAATTAAGTTTTTTTTAAACAATCCCAAAATTTATATTGGAAGGTACGTTCAAAATATGCAGTTTTTATATAAAATTAACTATTGCACATGTCATAAATTTTTTAAGATTATTAACCTTTTCCTGTCCTGGCCATTCAATGTTAAGAAAAAGAAAAAAAAATTATATAATTCTATATTAATAAGATAAAAAATATTATAAGCAAAACACACATAAATTAATGTAAAAAACTTTGGCTGTCGACTTTTTTTTTTTTTTTTTTTTTTTTTTTTTTTTTATTTAAATCAAAGGGGCAAGCGAGCAGACGGCCTGCCTGATGGTAAGCAGTCACCGTCGCCCATGGACATCTGCAACACAAGGGGTGTTGTAGATGCGTTGCCGGCCTTGTTTGTGAAGGAGCCACCTGAACACGTGATGTTTGAATAATATCTTGAATAATATCTATATGACTTGTGTATAATATCGAAATCTTTAAAATATAATAACAAGAAACGATCGAACTATATCTCAATATGAAGAACATTATTGTATGTAAAAATTTATATAGTATTTATTACGTTTTACGTGCAGCTTCATCGACACAATACGAGTATATATTTTTATTTTCCTCGCTAATTAATCCTTTTTTTTAACCTACAAAGAACTGAACAATTGTAGGCGTACGGTAATAATTTAAAATAACAATAAAAATCAACTCGATTAAGCAATGATGTTAAACAAAAGACATTATGCAAAATAATAATAAAAAACATTACTCAATATATTGTGTGACTAATATTCCCAATTAAAACAAGTTACAGTTTGTCGAGTATTCGAATTAGTTTGTCCTGAAAGCAATCAAAACAATAGTATCTGTATTTTATGAACTAAATAAAGAGAGATAGAGAGATACGAAACCTTAATTTTATTATTGAATTAAAAACAGTTTTTTGAAGGAGAAAAAATGTATGTGGTGGTTTAGACTGCTTATAATGGCATAATGGATACAAATTTTTGAAAAAAAAAATAGTTTAGTAGTAGTAATCTGAAAATATTAGTTTGATTTAAATGAACACTCTTCAAAAGTCTTAGAACTCATTATGTTTGCCAGATTATTTCTGGAAGCTTATTGTTTCTTATTAGAAAATTCATGATTGTTGTAGCAATGATCAAAAGTTGATATAAATATTTTTTCAAATCAATCAGAATGCTACATCAAAAGTATTTAATTTTATTGACATGTGTCTTTAATTTTGTCATAAATAACAAAACAAACAAACGTTCTCAAATTTTTAACGGCCATTGTAACTCCAGCAATCAAAATTACTATACTTACATTAGATGGCTTGAAGGAAGTCTCTGCAGACTGGCAAATAGATCTGCAGAAAATGGGAAAAAATCAAATAATAGACTAAGTTTAAAATATCTGTATGTACAATATGTAGTTTTTCTTTCAAAAACCTCCTCACATACTTACAATTTATGTTTATAAATGACTGTTATGTCGAAATAAATAGGATTGCAATAAACAAAAGCATAATATATTTTTTTGCTATTTAACATGTAAATAACACAATTATTCCGTAAACATTGTAGTAAACGGAATCTGAGTTATGATTCACAGTTTCAATGGAACATGGCGATATCGATCTTAAATAATTCATCAGCAACGACATCTCCATTTAACTACATCTCGACTTGATTAACTTAAAAAAAAATTATATTATACATATTAATGAGAAAATTAATAAAAAAATAAAGCAATTAAATATGCCCGAAAATCTCGATTGCTTTATTTTAATTATTTATATATGATTTTACGTTATCTATTTTAAATTAAACATCTTAATTTTACCCTAAAATCTCCTTAATAATATATAAGTGATACACTTATATATTATTAAGGAGTACATAATTTTATGTATATTTATATAAGAATTAGATTATTTTTTATATATATAAGTGAACCTTGAGAAAAAAAATTGCACACTGATTAATATCGCCATGATCTTTGATATAGTTAACCTTTTTATTCGAAATGACTTTGATATTTTAAATTAAACAATAACACATGCTAAGGTAACTCATTTACTTAAATATACTAGTTTTCATTGTAACTTTAAAACCACTATTTGTTTCCAAGCAAGTTGGTACGAAATCTTCAATCACATAGTATTTCCTTTAGAAAATGGGAAAGTGTTGTATTGAAATAATTATTTAGATTATTTATAATTGTTTTTAAGCTAATCGATGGATATCGTAATTAAAAAGGTGAATATGAAGGAAAGAAACGTTAAACGACATCTATGTTGTGTTTATTTAAATTTAAATATTTAATGAATAAAATTTTTATTCAGGGCTCTTTCTTGAAATGTATTATTATGAAAAATTTTGCTGTGATAAAGTTATAAAATTTAAGTTATTAAATTGCTATGACTAAGTAGGATAATTTGGGTTGTTGTAATCCGTAAAAGTGTATATATAAAGTACTGAACTTAGGTACATCGCCGAATTAAACTGACTGAATGAATAGAAAAAATAATTTAAAACAAAAGGTTTAATGTACAATCCTAACAAGCACTCATTTTGTTCCAAAAAATAATTGCTAAAGTTAGTACAAGTTTAATAGTCTACTTAAACACCGACGGTTTCGTCGTTTGTCATTCATAAACTATTTGTTTTTCGAAAATAAACTACATGATAAGTTTACAGTACAAACTCCTTAAAAATTATAGATATATAGATAGAATTACGCTGATTGATACATTGAGACTGTGAATGAGACTTCGACCTATGTAAAATATTATGTCTTTATCCAATTAAATTATTCTATAAGCTTTACAATAAAAAAAATATTTTATTTCCCCTATATAAATGACAAATAGTTTCTACTAACACTCTTTTAACAGGAACAAAATTTGTGAATTTTAGTCACTGTTTCATTCAAAAATACTGAAAACATTGTTATTAAAATGCTTTACATACATATAAATGGCAATTAAACTTATCCTAATGAGATGCTTACATCTTAAAGTTAGTCTTAACTTTAATGAGTTTCATTCATTTAAATGAAACTAATATTTTTCGGATATACTACACGTATATATGTAGTATGTAGTTTTTTATAAAAATTAAGTTCGCGTAGTATATCCGAAAAATATTACATAGTTACATTTAAATAAACTCAGCCTTCTATGATTGCGGACAAAACAATGAGAAGCTATTAATACCTAATAACTATTGTAAATTATCACGTTTGTTATAAGTTTTATACAATAAGTGATGAAATGGAAAATAAGAATCACATTCATACACAAACATTAAATAATTTAATCCATTATACACTTGGTTTACGTTGAAAATAGGATTTACGACTTATAAAGTGGCCATTAGTGATAACTCATTGAATTAATAAAACAAAATACTGACATTTCTTATGAAATTAAATTAAATTTTCTGTCCCTCCATAGTGACTATTTCTAAACTTAGACAATAATATATGCTCATATACATATGAAATATTTATTAATAAAAAGATAATAAAAAATAATTTGAAATTTATTCAAATTAAAAATATTTCTCAGGAGGCAACGACTGCCCTAACCTTAGCGCGTCTTAATACAATGCATTTCAAAATGCTATAAAAAAATCCTTGGTCATGAACCTTCGACGGTCATAAATACGAAGCTCTGTGCCAGGAGAGATACAGTTAGTGCTCAACTCTCGTGCGATCATCAGGTTCTTTTCAAGATGAAGGCATTTTTGATTTTTGTGGCCGTTTCCGTACTACAAAAGACCAGGGCTGAAGACGGATTCTTACGTAAGTGTTTCTATTGGTCTATTATAATGAAACAATTTCGAAATATAAATTTAAATGTATAAATAATTGCGATAAGTTTAGTATAAAAAATAATATATATGTATATAGAAAATTAAAAGTATATTATATTTTTATTTATCAATGTTAAGATCATTATGATTTTTTGTAATTTATGACACGAACTCCTAAAAATCTGAGCGAAATTAAATTGCTTATATATTTTTATTGAAATAAATGGGTCCTATATGTTCTCTTAAGTAAAAATATATCGACAATGACATACCCAAAAACATTCAAAGGATGAATGACAAACATTTCAGTTAAGTACAAAGAAAATGAAAAGAAATGTCCATTGCTTCCAATGTCCAATAGAGTAGCCACTTAATAGCTATTGTATAAGAACAAAGTGGTTTTAACGCCATTCATACCCACCAATACAGCCTTACAAGGACATGATGCTCATTTTCACGAACTTGTCAAATAATAAAAAATATATGGTATATATAACCTTAAATTTCAACTACGTTATAAAAGTAGATAATATAAACATAAATCTCTGAAGTCATTAAAGTGTTTTTTTATTATAAGTCTCGATTAAATTATCATTTTAGATATATAGAATGTTTTATGAGCAAATTAATTAATTATTATCATTTATTTGTATGAATTATTAACAATACAACCATAAAAGAAACTTAGTGATTGGACAGAAGTATTGACTATAATAGATCTGGTTTTGGTAATGTTTAAGTTTCTTTTTTCTGTTTCCTCTTAAAAATCTATAATTCTAAATCTTTCTTTTCATTTATTTAATAATGACTATAACAATATACGTGCTATTAATTGTGTTTAAAATATAAATAATAGATGTATAACAGACATTGATAATTAAAAATTGACTATTTGACAAGACAGATAAAGAAGCGATACTTTAAATTTATGTGCTTTAAATAAAAAAGTAATAAAACAATACAAATGATGTTGAACTTACCTCGTACTTAGGGTTGAAACGCAACACATATACTTTTAAGATTTTTCGTACATATATCTTCCAAACAAGTAAATTATTAATCACTACGATTTTAATACTACACCAAGTAACCATATTTACTCATTTTAAAGAACCGAATAATATATGCTTAAAACTATACCCGGTAACGAAACTTCAGCACTAACTGCGAGTCATGTAAGTTGATAGAAAAATGACTATTAAATTATTTTCATTCGTAAAAAATATGTTATTTCCATATAAATTACAACCTATATTTTATTCTGGTGTCTAAGCTATATTATTGGATAAATTTATCAAAATCACTACTATTTTGCTTAAAAATAAAGAAATGTTTCTTTGAAAACTTTTTTATATCTTTTATATGCACTAGTTATTTGAATGAGAATATTTGAATGTCCAAATATCCTCAGAAACTAATGCATTTGTAGGAAAATTCACTGTATTATTTCTCCAATACTGAAATCTTTTTATACAAACCTATTTAATAGCATTTGATATATGTATATAAATCATTTGTTCGCCAAGGATGGTAAGCGGGAAACAATAGATCAATGCTTATAAGAATAATAATTTCACAACACGTATATTCTTGGAATAAATTATTACTATTATATGATCTGGATATGACTTTGAAATATATAACTTTTTTTTCCCTGCCCTCATCCCACTTTATGTAGGATCGGCACAATATGTTCTTCTCTTCTACTGAACATGTTGTAAATAGTTTTCTCTAATTGATTTTTTTTAACCACTAGGCCACCACTGACTTCATAGAAATATATAACTATAATATTAATTAATGATATCTAAGTGGTTCGCGAGTACACATTACACAATTCAATGAAAGGATTTTCGGATAAATAAATACGTGGTTATATTACCTATTTCATATCCCGACGTTTCGATTATTTTACAGGCATTTTATCTTCAGATGAGATGAAGGACTATCTGAAGCAATAAAAACTGGTTTATTTTTAAATGAAAATTATATTTATTTAATCGTATCTATACTACAAATTCATACTTTGAGGGTTTTTTAAGAAATTTTATGGATTTTCATCCAATCTATATTTTACTCGAGAAACAATATGGATAAATGCTTTTGTAAAGACATAAACAAATCTAAATGGATTTTAATCGAACTTTTCTATATTTTAAACGAACGTGAGAGACAAAACTATGAAAGACTGAATTTAACGGCATCTTATACTAAACAACAAATAATATATATACATATATTTAGTATCAAGTATTAGAAGAAATATTTAAAATTAAAAATAATATCAATTATTCCTTTGTTTATTGACATCGTATTTCATTGTAGTGTGAGCAATTACTTAGACTTTCATATCATCTTTCATTCTTCTTAAGATTTCGCTTGTCGTTATTTTTACAATGCTATGTAATGCAGGAAAAAATGAGAAGTTAAAAACATTCTAATCCTTATTCTGATTCAAGAGCCTGGTAGAATTTTTTCTGTACCTCAAACATCCAACGAATGAAACTTTTACCTTATATTCTTTAAGGAATCTTAATTATCTAATAATAAGATAAACAGAAAACTGATTTGTATAGAGGAAATAAATAAAAATGCATCATTAAATTACAATTAGAATATATTATACATTTATAAAATAAATAATAAATCGATAACATATAAAAATATATATTAATACTAGCTTTTGCCGCGGCTTCGTCCGCGTGAAATAGTTACTTCCGACAGATTTTTGGTTCTTCCCACATAGTTCCCGTTCTTGCGGGGTTTTCGGAATGGACGAGTTCCTGTAGAATTTTCAGGATGAAACCTATGTTTTTTTTTTTATTAATAATGAAGTACTCTTAACCAACAACATATTTATTTGTTTATATGAATAAAGATTAGTATTATTATTTTGATACAACTTAAACAAATTATTTCGACAAAATTAGGTACCATAAAAACGGTTTTTGTGAGTTAATCTTAAAACATAGACATATACTGTTGCGGACTGTTTTTTAGATCATTAAAGGAGCTATTATTCTTTAATACATATTTTTTGTGTATCTTGAACCGTTTTCACGGCGCACGCAACGGAAGGCTTCAAAGATGAAATAATTTCTCCCGTTTCTTACACATTTACCACTATATCTTTGCTCCTTTTGGTCGTAGCGTGATGTTATATAGCCTACAGCCTTCCTCAATAAGTGGACTATCCAACACAAAAAGAATTATTCGAACCAATAGTTTCGGAGATTAGCGCTTTCAAACAAACAAACAAACTCTTCAGCTTTATAATATTAGTATAGATTATAGAATAGAAAATTATTAATGTCAATTTATTATATGATTGTAGAAAAATACATATATAAAAATTCTTTATTATTTATATATGTATATGTACACATATATACATTTGTAAAAAATAATCACTGATATAATTGTAACTAGCATTTATAAGAAGGTTTGTATTGTATTGTCTTCTCAAGGAATTAATATTTTTTGTCATATTTGTGTCAAAAACTAAAGAAAATTTTTAATATAGCAGCCTTCATCACTCCTCGCTGCATCAGCTACCTTCTAGTGAAAATCCCATCAAATTGGTTCAGTAGTTTCAACGATTAACTAAGACAAACATACATACAGATGCACAGAAATGCTGACAGACGGACCAAAATAAAAAAAATCTATTGTAATATAACCAACAGTGTATATAATTAGTATTGGCAACATTGTTATAAATAAATAGCTAGACGACATGAAGTTATTGAGTTTTTTCAATACTTAGTTATCAGCAGTAACTGATAATTTGGTATCTTTTTATCAAATTCATGATAAATATATTGGTTTATCAATTTCATTAACTTGTATTAGTAATATTTAACGCTCCCATTTTGCTAATTTGTATTTATTTCCACCTAAATCCCTATACTAAATTTCAAAGTAAATTGTAATTTACGGCGCCATGCGTGTCTGTGACACAGAAATCGTATAAGTATTATATGGACAATAGAAATGACACTTACATTATAAACGGATGGCCTTATGCTACTATCGTAATTTTTGTATCTTTGAAGTCATTATGCTTACCACAAGTTTGTGTAACCACACTACATACAGCGCGTGTACGGTTTTTAATTTAAAAATCTTCTCACATTACAGTATTATATAGGTTTGTGTTAGTTATAAACCAATAGAATGGATATTTACGTCCACACATTAAGAAATATTTTACGAAATTTGTATTAACAATGTCAATGTTACAATTTATATTATAACTCTCAGCGTGATTATAACTGAGTTAATCAACTTGTTTTAACTTAACGAAACCTACTGAGTTCATTTAGCTTTATTTAGACAAATACTTATATTTTTCGTCCAATAATTATTACGTCATCACCGTAGTATTTGTAATAACAACGGATTTTTTATATTAAAACAATACTTTTTTACAAAAAAAAAACTCCTATAATTTGTAGAGTATCCTATATGTATGGAAGAAAGTAATTAATTATAAATAAAATTATATATTTCATTACCGTGATAAAATAAGGAAACAGACATTATTTCGGCGATATACCGATACTGGCAATTTTTATTTAAATAAATAAACAAGGTTAAATAAATTTTCCTCGTAATATTTACAAATTATTCATTTTTTTTATGTCAAGTGCATTTTTTGTCGGATTTGTTGTCTAATTAAAATACTTATTTAATATTTGTAATTAGTTATTCATCTGTACTGTTTCTTTATAAGCATACTTGATATAAAATATAACCGCATACACAGATTATACTATCATACAGTTTTAATATATTCAATTCAATAATTTAATACATTTAGATGAAACTAATATTTTCTGATTAAAACGGGCATTGATGTGCAACTCGTCTGTCCGTTACAGTTGCTGCAAAGCAACTGAAACTTTGGAAGTATGTTTAAAAAATTATAAAATATGAGACAATCCGATAATATTAGTTTCATTTAAATATATCATATCCTTACAAATCAAAGCATTCACAAACAATACGTTTTTTTGTCTATTTTCATATATTTTAGAATTCAGCATTTTTTAATTGCGTTGTTAGTATGTTATTGTTCCAAAACGCTATTTTAACTTCAAATTTTTTTTTCCATCTAAATATTTAATTTACAATTACTTGATAGATCTTATAGAACTGTATATATAATATTTATACGATTTATATATCTTACATGGTATACAGGGTGACTGGTGAATTACTATCGATATTTGAGGACGTGATATTTGACGATCATATATGACAAAATAAAAAATAATATAACATAAATATTAATAAACTTCTAAGTAAAGTTAACCAAAAGTTATGTAATTAATTACGCATCGTATGAACACCCTACAGATTAGGTATAGACACACACTCACACACTCGCGGCGGGGGCGTGGTTTTGTATCAGCACGCCGCCGCACGCGTCCACACTTAGAACACTTGGAACGTGTCAACACTTTATTTATTTATACGGAAATTTGGTCAAAAATTAAGTAGGTACCTATTTTTTCACATAATTCGAATGAGAATCATGTACCGAGTATGCTCCTTAAATATTGATAGTAATTCACCAGTCACCCTGTATAACAAATCGTATTAAAATCGAAATATTTTTCAGCGTCCTACATCCACCCCTGCAGTATAGCTGATCCCAAATTTTCTGATTGCGTGAAAGAACAAATAGTTGAATGTCTTCCGCACTTCACGAAGGGTATCCCGGAGTACGGCGTGCCTTCCATAGACCCAGTGGATCTTAACGACATTATCATAGACGGGAATGGACTCAAGCTGAAATTCACTGACGCTCAGATGCATGGACTCAGCAAAATTGATCTGACCGGATTTAAGTTAGTAACTTTTATGTATATAAATTTCATATAAGAGATAAAATCCCTCATCATTCCATGGATTTCATGGATGCCGGGTCTATCGTTGTAGGGAGAGGAGCTTGAACAGTGCCTGGGACTTGCGACCCAGGTGTAGGTTGAAAAGGGCCCTTATCTAAAGAACGTTAAAAGCCCACATCCACCGTCCAAGCTCCTCTCCCCATCTAAATAGGAATATACTATAAAATATTAAAGATGGTAGAGATCTGAATTTAAACCCTTTCGACATATTATGTCTTAGCCACTTCACAAATTAAGCTATCATGTATATTTACTCGCAGCTGCCAGTCAAGGTTTAAAGCGACAAAGACTTATTTCAACGAAATCATCATTGCATATTTATTAACAGTTAGTTACATACATTGTATATTTTTTAATCATCTACGTATTATTTATTCATCAAAACAACAAAATATAAAAAATAATCATATTATAACGAGTACATATCATAATTGATATTGATATAATTTTATTTATGTATACAATTGTACTTTGTGGAAAATCGATTGCAATCAATAGATTCAATTCTTTGAAAACGCATTGTATGCAAATTAATTAACAATCTTGCTATGTAAATAATAAAATAGAAGCTGAAAATAAGACGTAATGAACTGTATGATAAGGATATTTAACTTTTTTGTTACATGTAGCCTGAAGTTAGGTGACAATGAAGAATCATTTGAACTTAAAGTTAAAGGAAATTTAAGTTTAACAGCGCAGTACACAGCTGATGGTCAAATATTAATACTTCCGATCAGAGGTCATGGCGACGCGTTAATTGATTGTGGTAAGTAATAAAAATGGTGACAAATTTTCATAAATATTTAATTAATACATTACTAAATTATTTTCCTTTGAAATAGAATACAATGAAAAGTAATTTCTCAATAAAGATATTATTTATAATAATTCGTTAATAAGAAATGAATTAAAGGAAAATTACTGACGGAAAAATAATGGCACATCTAATACTTATCAAGTACATGATATTCACACTAACTTATGATTCAAATTAAACTGTAGTTAAACTACATACTCGAAACGCAACAATTTAACATTTTTTTTTTATCACAATGTAATGGTATGGTTTATTCTAAACATAAACTAGAATTTAAGTTATAATTATTATCAGTTAAATGATGTACATAATTATGTACAGTTAAAAGAGTAGTTTGCAGCAGTTCTACAGAGCACGACAGCAGTAGAATCATACTGTACAATTTCTTTAAATTCGTTAGTTTCTTGCAGACAAGTTTCGGCATCTCGTTGAAATTTCTTTTCAATCTTACAATCTGTGAGAGATAAAAGTTTTCTTTTGTTTTAAATTATACCTTATAATTATTAAATTTTAAATAAATTCTAAAAGCAATAAATTTTATATATAACAATTCTATATAAAAAAGGATTATTGAATTTGAATCAATAAATATAGATGAATTTTTAAATACATAAAAATAATAATAAATGTAATTTCAACTCACATTTACCATAAACTTCACATTAAAATATATGAATTATGTATGTAAATTATATACAAGCGGTCACATTCACAGAAGTAATTAAAATAATATTCAGAGCAAGTTATAAGACATGGGATTGTTAAATATTTGCAGACGGTATCGAAGTGCAAATCAAGAGTAACCTGAGCCATGTGAAGGACGATAAGGGAACTCATTTCAAACTGGTGGCACCGAATTATAAGTACGACATCACTAACACTAAAATTGACCTCAAGAACTTATTCGATGGAAACAAACAACTAGGTAATTAAAACAATTATTATAGTAAAAAAAAATTCAAATACGATAGTGTTCTTACTTATTAAAACTCGTTAAATATTTATAATGAGATTACTATAACAGTAAATTATTTTAAATGAATAAAGATATCAATGTTAAACTTGTTAAATCTTTAAATAATATAAAGTACCATTATTAATAATAATTAAGAAGCATAGTTTTTTAATGATTTATTTTTCTCTTTATACTTTTTGAATAAAACTCTTATTTTTAACAATCTGTCTCTAACCGTAAGTAATTAAAATAAAAAATAAAAATATTTTATTGTATACATACTCTGTACTAAAAGGATTTAATAGAAAATTAACAGTACAATACATACATTGTTCAATTTTCTTATATATTTTTCATTTTGGAATTCATTTTTATTTCGATTGTAATATCTCACTTCTATTGCAAATAAATTCTGTTTATTATATTTACTATTATAAAATTATATTTTATACTAGTTAAATTCTAAGATATCACTTCTATTCTCATTTCACAGCTGAAACTACATTGAAATTCGCCAACGAGAACTGGCGTCAATTAATGGACGACCTCGCACCACCAGCCATCAAACAGATTGTCAAGACTATAGTTAAGAACATAAATAAATTCTTCTCGAAAGTAACTATTCAACAGATCATTCACGGATACCAAGAAAAACAATGATTTTTATTTAAATTAAATAAGTTAAATGTCAATTATCTGTCGCTTGTAAATTAATATTATTAAATTAATAAAAATGTTATAGGTATATGGATAACTGTGTTTACTTTATACGCTTATTAATAAATGGCCAAATAGTACGCAAATCGTCAGTGAAGTTAAGATTTTGAAAGAAAATTATTTAGTACATTAAAGAGAAGTTGTATTTTACGACATTTTGTCAGATAAAACAAACATAAAACAATTATCAAATTGATTATTATCAAATAATGGAGATATTGAAATTAAATAAGTATTGACTGTCAGGTTGGTAAAAATAAAAATAATGGTAGTGCAACATATACAAATATTTTATTTCAAAATAACACTTTTTATTAAAAATAAAATGATATAAAATCATCAATAAAATAAATTTGATTTAATTTTCAATGCGAGACTTATTAGAGAGAATCATTTACGGCCTTTGAACTGCGCTATCCTCAGAACTGCAACTGCTTAAAGTTGTTGATGTTAACGAGCGACTGCGATTGCTAAAAGTTACTTGGGCTTCAGACATGGCGTTTCCTTGACGAGGTCGAATACCAATAAATTGATACCAGCCCCGCTTATAACCCATAAAACCAATAAACACGAATACCAGAACGGTAACACCAACCGCCATTCCAATTATACCAGCGTGGTATAAAGGATATGATTGCTCTGGAAATGTTATGTATATTAAAATTCAAATCATGAATTGTAAATTTTCTATAGATTAATCATAACTACCTCCAATGTACAAGATTATAGTATCTCTAGATTCAACAACCTCCCCAACAATAACTGCAGCGCAAGTCCATTCACCAATATCTTCCTCTTGGACTGATATTATATTTAAGGAACAGTCTCCCACATCGATGCTTCTATTTGGTGTGAAGTAAAACCGATCCAGGATAGCTCTGAAATATATTTGCTACAGTAATAGTTGAAGATAAGGACAAAAACTTTGCATATATTCGTCAAATTACTTGTCCTTTGTTATAGTCTCGTCAACACTTAGCCCTAGAAATTTCGGCGATAGGAATCTACAGTAGTTCAAAGCTTTTCTGCCATTAGCTGAATGACAGTATAATGTGGCGCTATCTCCAATAGAGACAGAAACACTCTGTTTATTGGCAGCTAAAGGTCCAGTTACTCTGACTTGAACTTTGTCAGTCATTTCAATGCCAGCAGTTCCACGTGGTCCCATATAGCATTTCCAAATACCAGAATCCGAGGAATTAGCGTGAGCAAAAGTTACACCACAGTCTCCTAAATCCAAACCCTGGCCTGTATACCTGAAATATATATTTTTTGTTTATTTTCAAGTATGCCCAAATAAATCACTTGACGGCATATTCCTATCTCAAACATATAACATATTTTTATCTTCGATATATGTATATAAAAAAAAACTTCGTAAATCGTAAGACCCCACCAACATACTGTAAGATTATGTTTTGAGTTATAACTTAATTCCTACCAAAACAACTGATCAGCATCCTCAGACGCCACAGGAGTAAACTGAGTCCCATTGGGATGCTGGAACCAGCAATAGTTCAGTGATACATCCGCGTGACAAGAAATTGTGAAAGGAGAGTCGACAGTCACAAACACAGACTTCAATTCATTATCGTCAGCATTTTCGACCACTGTAATTATTTGTATTTAAATATTAGCTTTCACATAACAAACACTCGTGATACGAGTATGAACATACGTAGGGCGACGCGACGCTGACCTTGGATACGCCTTACTTACAGTTCAAAGTATTTGGAACTGGAACGCTTATTAGTGCTTGCATCGGCCTCTGTGGCTGCATTACTGTACCAACCAACATCTGGACCCCAACAGAGCACCTCCATGAACCATAGTCCTGTCTTTTTGGACTTTCAATTGTCATCCCACACTGTTTCAGAGCGAATCCATCGCCATAGTAGCTATAAGAAGTCATAGATACACGTTTTATATATAAAATTAATGTGAATAAAGTATTTGTAATGTATTATTATTATAATTTCAGGTACATTTATTTTTAATACTGTAATAGATATATGTTTTATTATCTCATCGTAATTTAAATACTATTTATGAAAAATTATCGGTGAATCAAGTTAAAAGAATATTCTAGATAATCATTACATTTTGATATTAGCTATTTATATTAGCACTAGATTACAACATCGTTTCCTTAAAAATTCTCACAAAATATATTTTTATGTATGATAAATAAGTATGGTTGAATAATAAGTATTATCCAATAGTTCATTGACAAACTAAGAATCTTGTATTAGTGATTTGAAATGTTGTATCGTTTCCAATCAATTAGCCAGAGTCCAGTCACATTTTCGAATGAATAACTTCTTATTTACCTATGACTTCCATCGCTCAAACCGTCTACAACATTAAATCCGTACATATCGGACGCTTTCTGGAATCTGCAGAAGGTTATTTCCTTATTGCTATTCAGTATGTTGCAGTACAAATGTAACTTTTTGTTCGCATGCACATATCCCACGTCAAGACGTTCGGCTATAATAATAATTTTGATAAGGTATCAACTTCATGGCGTATTGATATGTGAAATGATTTAAAATATCCTGTACTCATGATGACTAAATATCAAAATCTTAAAAAAACTAACGCTGATCATTCGAATTATATATAAATAGATGTATAGAAAAAAAAACGTAACAATTCTCAAATACGAAATTAAATACAAACAACATTAAATAAAGAAGTTTTAAAATTGAAATCGAAAGGAATTCAGTACAAAAATAAAAGCCCAAATATTCCTTACTATGTACTGTGACACGTCGGTCTGTTTGCAACTCAGACACTTTTCCTGGCAATCCCAGGTATACCTGCCAATTGCCCTGCACCGCTCTAGTTGTTCGATCCAAAGTGACACTACACTTTCCAGGTACCAATGAACTTTCCGAAAACGGCTTAGCGACTACACAGTAGGAGTTGTCCAATGATGACAACTCGACTTTAGCCTGAGCACCATCCTGTAGTGATATTGGAGGAGCATCGTAACGAGTAGTGTCTTCTGTTCACAAATAAATAAAATTAAAATACTAAATTAAAATTTCCAAGGCTTTTGTAGACACCAAAATTTTTAATCTGATAAATTATACGAAAGACAATTCTCATTGGTTTGAATTAAATCCGTAAATTAGACGAAATATTATATTAAAATATATTAGTTCTAACGCAATACACACCAAGTACATGCAGTTCACTCCATCCTGTTATGGTGTTGTTCCCTCTGGTGGAAGTGAGGCGCCATCTCCCTAAATCTTCAGACCTGACGTCTTTGATTCTAACACCACAGCCGTCAGACCACCTCTCGTACCTTTGAAAGTATTTGAGGCCATGTATATGGAGAATAATTTCTTTTGAAAAAGTAATTTATAAAGAATTGTATTGATGTAAAATCTTAATCAATGTTCCTATTACTAACTTTTTACTAGAAGGAGTATTGAATACATCAAACTCTTGACCTCTAGGGCTTCTAACAACACATGATGATGGCCCCTCGAAACTAGTCTTGAGCTTTATCAAAGCTTCGTTCCCTACAGCCACTTTCACCATTGGTGGCCATACAAGGCCATTTTGGGCAATTAATTTATGTTCGAATTGAAGTTTGATTACATTTTGCGTTTCTCCGACTAGTAATATATCTAAAACACAATAAAGACTCAAAAAGAGAATTCTTTGTGCAAGTTTTACGAAAAAACCACTATATTATTACCACAGATCACTAAAAAGCCTAGAACAATTTTATAACCCATTAGAAAATAATGTATGTTTCGGTTCCACAACCATCCGATACAACACACAACAACTCTTCAAGTTCAATCATTGCACATTATATCACCATTACATAGATATTATATATAATGTATTTAAACAATCTTTGATACATTTAGAATCAAATATTGATAAATTTAAAAGATTTCATTGGACTGTGGTTTTTATTTTCCAGTAGTGTCGTTTTTTTAGAAAGACTATTGTCTGGAAATTCCACTTCAGATGTTCTTGTTTAATTTATGTAACATTTCTTCCATAAAATTTTTCAGGAATATTTTCATGTTAGAAGAAAAGTTCATTTCAGTTATTTGGAATTAACATTTTAAAGTAAGAAGTTTTAGCATCATCTTCATTCTTCGAGATTGTTTCCGTCAAGAATTTACTTAATGAAAATTATAATTGATTAAAAGAAGTTTATTTATATAGGGACAAAACACAATTATATGGCTAGTATAAGTTCCCAGATAACTTTAAAGATAAAAGATAAAGTTTATTAATAGTCAATTATCTCTATAATTAATCAAATTATGATAAAACTGTTAAAATCTAGATTAGACAGTTCTCTTATTATTAATACTAATTGGAGTTGGCTTTCGCTGGAAACAGAAGTACGGATTTTATTTTCTATCACCTGTTAAAGTCACTGATTAAAATATTAAATATAGCGCTATCATTATTGATCATATTGATTGACAATTATGTCTACAAAATTACTGTTGGTGTTAGCTCATAGTCTACTGAAAGATTTCTCAAATATTTTTCTATGTTTCAATTAGGTGTTAATGTAAACTCATCAAGGGTGAATGGTGTAATTGAAAAACACTTTGTTGTTGGTAACGAATTAGCATTTAGCTTTGAACATCAATAAATTCAATACAAATAGTACCTATATATTTGCTCTCTATCTCACATTATTTTACGGTAAATTCTGTAACATCTAGACTTCTGAAGTTGTATTAGAGTATGTAATAATATCCTTTGTTTAAAAAAGACAACTTGGTTTGAGTACCTACTTTGGTTTTACAATTGTATAAGTGACGTTGTAGTTGTAACTTGTAAATGTTCAACGTCATAAATAATATTTTGCAATGGTCAGTCGTGGCCTAGTGGTTAAGCCCCGCCTCTCATGCATGAGGGCTCGGGTTCGATCCTGGCAAGGACCAATGTGATTTTTCCGAGTCATATGTACTTTCTGAGAGTGTATAGACACCACTGACATACGGTGAAGGAACACATCGTGAGGAAACCTGGACTCATAATTCCACAATTATAAATTTACATTCCCAAAGAGTGTAAAAGCTGTATAAACCGGTTCAAACTAGAAAAGTACGTAGCAATCAAAAATTTGACGTCACACCAACACTATCCGTTTCACACAAATGCAAATCTCAGCTTATGACTCGCGCACTATACTGCTTCTGATATAATTACTCACCCCACTATAGTCCAAAATCAAAAACTTTAATACGTTTATATCTGACAAACTCATTGAATATCTGAAAAGATAAAAGCACAAACTTCACATTAGGCTCTAGGCGAACCCACAAGGGAAATATACTGAGACTCGAAAAATGTAATCCACATTTCGCAATTGTTTAAAAAATAAATAATCAGAACACGGCTTTTCTATTCTGACAAACCGGTTTTTTAGCAATAACATGAAAGGCTTTTTGATGTGTTAACTAATTGTACAACTTTGTTGTAAAGTTATATGATTTTACATGACGGCATACCTTTTTACTTTCAGGTTACTGTAAACACCCACAAGCAGTCTCACTATTACCGTCCAGAGTTCAAGGAGCTATAGGTTTATACATTTTTTGTTTAAAATTATGATAAAAGGTTGCGGAATCCAATACACAAGACTACAACACTTTTTGATCAGTTATTCGGTTGAATCTGCGCCCCCCCCCTCCCATTCTACGCGTAAAGCTTACAGAAAACGATCCACATTTTTAAGTTCTAATAATTCTTCGAACAACCAGAAGTGACCTTAGTGTTTTATAGAGATGAATCGACCGGGGAAGTACCACCCTCTCACCGAAGATCGTGAAGTAATCTTTAACGGCTGCTTTGTCTGATAAGTGAGAGAGACAGTTGCCCTTTCCCTGTTCCCACCCTTTCTTCAACTCTCCCTGTTCCTACCCTTTCCTCCTTCCTGAACAACCAAGGTCAGCAACGCATCAGCAATACTCTTATATTGCTTATACCTACGTACGGGCGACGGTGACTACCTCCCATTAAGGAGGCCGTCTGCTAATTTGCCACCTTTCAGTCAATGGCGTTGTTAAATAACAGGAGTGTTTGTTTTAAGGTAAAACTTAGAAATTAATTGTTGATTTATATTGTTTCGTGTCTTCTTAACGTTTTCACTTTAAATGTCTAAATGAAATATAAAAAATACAAAATAAATACTAATAATCCCTAAATACCATGCAAAACTTGGTGTCCAGATATTAATTATTGTAATACGACATCAACGGATGACTAATTTCCATACGTTGTGAAGTTATATGCAGAAAACTAAGCAAGTTATCGAAAGAATAGAAAATTTTATAACATTTTATAATAAACAAAATAAACATTAAAAAAAAACTATATACCGGATGGTTTAAAAAAAATACAAAAATAATTGCTAATCATCTTTGTTCCAGATGAATTAATTCACCTGGAACATATTTCATTTTATTTTAACTTACAAAATTAACAAATTTCCTTTTCAAATATTCATATAAAAAAAATACACCAAATTCTTTCATTCAGCTGGTTAAAATAAATAAAATGACTTTGAATTTACCAAAATCTCTATAACTTGTTATACATTTACACATACAACTACATGGACACATAACTATCAATCAGACTTCATATTAACAACTAATTTCTCCATAATCCTAGTTTTCATTGGCAGGTCGGTACAACATCATCTGCTTCCTTCATTTGATAAACATTCAACTGCAACAGAAACAAAATGCCATCAAAATTGTTTAATTCCATCACATTATAATATATGTGATTTTGGCTGAGTTGTCTAACTAATTGATTCAAAATAATAGAGAGATACATATATGTACTTTCTAAGAGTATTTAGACACTGATTGATGCATTCCCAAAAAGGGTTGAGGTCAGGCAGGTGGTGGGTAGTAAAAACAATTAGACAAAATTATTCACAATACGTAAGGCAGACCCTGCCTAAAGCTGGGAAATTGCCAGGTAGAAGAAGAATAGAGAGATACATATTTTTTCATTTACTTTCAGAAACATAAGCTAGTTTTTGGACTTGTTATACTTCAAAAGTCCATATATCTTAAATGAGTTTTCTAACAACATTATACAGGGTGACTGGTGAATTACTACCGATACTTGAGGACGTGATATTTGACGATCATATATGACAAAATAAAAATTAATATAACATAAATATTAATAAACTTCTAAGTAAAGTTAACCAAAAGTTATGTAATTAATTACGCATCGTGTGAACACCCTACAGATTAGGTATACACACACACACACACACGCGTGCGACGGCGTGGTGTTGTATCAGCACGCCGCCGCACGCGTCCACACTTGGAACACTTGGAACGTGTCCACACTTTATTTATTTATACGGAAATTTGGTCAAAATTTAAGTACCTACTTTTTTTTACATAATTTGAATGAGAATCATGTACCGAGTATTCTCCTTAAATATTGATAGAAATTCACCAGTCACCCTGTATAAAACATTTATTATTGTAACAACTAGAACCTTATTATTATATAGCAAAAGGAAGATTATGTCCTATAGGACCTAAACAATCTACCAAAAACAAACTATAATTTCATATGTTACCATTAAATAAGTTAGTTAGCTAAATACATATATAGATTATTTACATACTTGTATTTCCTGAGATCTCGCTTCCCTGAGGGTGTATTCTCTCAGGACGTAATCTGTATGAAACACATGAAACATTCTAGTTTCATGAGCTCGGACCAACAATTCATCCACTCGGAGGAAATGTCTTAGAAGGACATACCAGCAAGTCGGCATCACTCTCTGGAAATATACCAATTGTATCAGTACAAGTTTGTGTAACAAGTAGCAAAATATTGTGATACATAAAGTTAGAAAGGTTACTAACATTGTAATAATAAAAAGACTTAAGTGCATTTAATTATTTGAAAAATAAAATCAGTCTTACTTATCTCTTACGATTTTAACGGACAGCTTTGATATACCATGATCGTGAAGTTCATCCTCAAATAAGGTGAGATCATGATAGAACAGTATCTGATCCCTCCGTTTCAGAAGCTCTATGTTGATCATCTCCTCGGTTGGTTCAATGATAATATCATCCGACAAAGTTCCTTTGTAATCCGTCGAAAATGTCCAATCGAAAGTTTTCTTAGCTTTCTCTGCATCAGGTCTGAAATAGAAATATATAAATTTATTTTTAAGCATCTTACAATTTCTCATACAGATCCAAATATATCAGAATGTCGCACATGTGGGTGATGTTTATTACTCGTTGACATCAAAAGTACAATATATTTTTTTCAACACAACAAGTTTAAACATGGTGTATATAAAAAAAAAAAAAACTAAACATGTATATAACACGATAACAAACCTAGCCTCTTGCCAGGCCTCTGCGCAAGCCACTTCAATAGCCTCAGTACGACAGGAAACTCTACGTAAAGCATCCAGTGGCTCAAAATATATCCTGCTTCCATGCTTATGTGACAAAGACAGAATATTCTCAGGAAATACCATATTTGGAAAGTGTGGAATGCTTAACTGTTTACAGTATCTGAAAATGAAGAATATTTATGTATTATATGATGATTATTACGTTTTTAATAGCAAGGCATTACCTACTCACATACAAAATTGACAGAACTGATCGCCATCTTGCTCGCAAACTACTTTGGTTGAACATACACTTGGTAAAATACAGCTTGTATTGTAAGATATATGCCACGGTCCAAAATCTATAGATTTTGCATTCATGTCATCATTCATGTCATCTATTGGCGAAAAATTATACTACTTTTTGCTAATTACTTTAACGATACAACAGCAGATAGCGTTGTTAAATAACAGGAAGTCAATGAGTATTTGATTGAGGTAAGACTAAGAAATTAAGTGTTGATTTATGTTGTTTCGTGCATTCTTAACGTGTTCACTTAAACGAAATAAAAAAAAAAACAAAATAAATACTACTAATCCCTAAATACCGAGCAAAACTCGGTGTTCAGATATTAATTATTATAATACGACATCAACGGATGACTAATTTCCATACGTTGTGAAGTTATATGCAGAAAACTAAGCAAGTTATCGAAAGAATAGAAAATTTTATAACATTTTATAATAAACAAAATAAACATAAAAAAAACTATATACCGGATGGTTTAAAAAAAACAAAAATAAACGCTAATCACCTTTGTTCCAGATGAAATAAGCTCATCAGTAACACATTTCATTTTATTTTAACTTACAAAATTAACAAAATTTCCTTGCAAATTACCCCATAAAAAAATACACCAAATTCTTTCATTGATCAGGTTAAAATAAATAAAATGACATTGAATTTACCAAATCTCTATAACCGGTTATACATTTACACATACAACTACATGGACACATAACTATCAATCAGACTTCATATTAACAACTAATTTCTCCATAATCCTAGTTTTCATTGGCAGGTATGGTACAACATCATCTGCTTCCTTCATTTGATAAACATTCAACTGCAACAGAAACAAAATGCCATCAAAATTGTTTAATTCCATCACATTATAATATATGTGATTTTGGCTGAGTTGTCTAACTAATTGGTTCAAAATAATAGAGAGATACATATATGTACTTTCTAAGAGTATTTAGACATCACTGATTATTGCATTCCCAAGGAGGGTTGATGTAATGTCGTAAAAACAATGAGACAAAACTTTTCACAACATGTACGGCAGACCCTGGCTAAAGCTGGGAAATTGTCAGGTAGAAGAAGAATAGAGAGATACATATTTTTTCATTTATTCTGAGTCATACGCAATTTTTTAGCCTTATGTCATACCTCTAAAGTCTGTATACCTCAAAAGACTTTTCTTACCAACATTTAATATTGAAAAAACTAAAACTTTATTCTTATAGCAAACAGAAGATTATGTAGTGTCTGACCTAAACAATCTACCAAGAAAAAAATCAAAATTTTCTGATGTCACCATTAAATAAGTTAGTTAGTTAAATATATAGATTATTTACATACTTGTATCTCCTGAGATCTCGCCTCCCTGAGGGTGTATTCTCTCAGGACGTAATTTGTATGTAAGACATGAAACATCCTAGTTTCATGAGCTCGGACCAACACTTCATCCACTCGGAGGAAATGTCTTAGAAGGACATACCAGCAAGTCGGCATCACTCTCTGGAAATATAATAAATAGTATCAAAACAAGTTTGTGTAGCTTACAAGTACCTAAAGTTTGTGACACATAAAGTTAGAAAAGTAACTGACATTATAATAATATAGAGATTTAAGTGTATTTAACTATTTGATAAATTCTACTTTTATTTATCACTTACGATTTTAACGGACAGCTTTGATATACCATGATCATGAAGTTCATCCTCAAATAAGGTGAGATCATGATAGAACAGTATCTGATCCCTCCGTTTCAGAAGCTCTATGTTGATCATTTCATCAGTAGGTTCAATGATGATATCATCCGACAAAGATCCTTTATAATCCGTCGAAAAAGTCCAATCGAAAGTTTTCTTAGCTTTCTCTGCATCAGGTCTGAAATAGAAATATATAAATATATTTTTTAACCATCTTACAATTTCTTATACAGATTCAAATATATCAGAATGTCACATATGTGGGTGATGTTTATTACTCGACATCAAAGTACAATATATTTTTTGAAAGCATTGCAGTATATTATCTTCTGTTTAAAGTATAGCTAAATAATATATTTAAAAATGGAATTCTATTCACTAAAATAGGTTTATTATGTCAAACAACAAGTCTAAATATGTGTATAAAAAAAAAAACTAAACATGTATATAACATGATAACAAACCTAGCCTCTTGCCAGGCCTCTGCACAAGCCACTTCAATAGCCTCAGTACGACAGGAAACTCTACGTAAAGCATCCAGTGGCTCAAAATGTATCCTGCTTCCATGCTTATGTGACAAAGACAGAATATTCTTAGGAAATACCATATCTGGAAAGTGTGGAATGCTTAACTGTTTACAGTATCTGGAAATGAAGATTATTTATGTATATTATATGATGATTATTACGTTTGAATTGCAAGGCTATACCTACTCACATACAAAATTGACAGAACTGATCGTCATCTCGCTCGCAAACGACTTTGGTTGAACATACACTTGGTAAAATACAGCTTGTATTGTAAGATATATGCCACGGTCCAAAATCTATAGATTTTGCATTAACAGTATAACGACCTGCATCAACCGAGTCGTCCTGAAAGTTTATAAAACGAAATACATAAAAAATATTCATTCCTCATAAAATATTTTATTATTTTATTAATTACCGTAACTTCAAGCATCTTGAAACAACACTGTATGATAAGTATTCGCGATTCCGGCTAATAGTTTCCAGTATTATAATATATTTTTCAGTAATTCATCAGCTTTATATACAATAAATGAATGCTAAACATAAAACGAAAACCGCATAAAAGCAATTTTGTTGACCTGTAAGTGTACTCTTAGATATTTCATAAGTGACAGATGAATTTATGAATTAGACAAAGCGAAAAGACAAATAAAAAATGTTGTCATTTATATAAATGAAAATGTTATGCTCTCGAACCTATAATATGTTGGGGAATAAAACCGTTGATACTTATTTATAATTGAGTAATATTACTTTATTTAGTGTGAATTTTGAAGTTTAACCTTTTTTAAATTGTATGTTTTTCTCAATTAATTCGTTTTTGTTTATAAGTATATACAAAAGTGTATAGCAAAACTTAAAACCAACCTTTATTTTAAGGACAAATTAAAATACTAATAGTGCATGGGTTAAAATTACATTTTTATTGTTTTAAATATTACAATTAAAATATACTAATGTTTGATATAAATTTGTCTTTAATAATAATATGGTAATATGAAAGCTAAAAAAATATTATTTTTAATTAAGTAATATTTAGTGAATATTAAAAAATTTAAATTATAAATAGCAACCAATCCTAAACCTATTAAATTTACATGTATTATGTGTATTTCACTATTATTATCCGTATCGATATGAATTTATGTAACTTATCGATTTTAAAAGTCATTTTGCACTACTGTCTGTTAAGTCCGAACTCCGAACTACAATCTTCATTCTTCAGTTCTGTCGAATCAATATGGCCGACTTTTACCGGTCGGTTTATGTGTTTTGATAATTAAATAATTTGAAAGTTGCAATCCTTTGTATAATAAAAGGTTGTGTTAATATTTTATAAATAATCTCAGTCGCTAGTAAAGAAGATTTAAAAATGGAAGCGCTTATTCCTGTTATCAATAAGCTACAAGATGTTTTTAATACCGTTGGAGCCGATGCCATCCAATTGCCTCAAATAATCGTATTGGGAACTCAGGTTATTATATTTTTATTTTATGTAACACAATTTTGGCAGAATGCTTTATGAAAATAGCGGGTGCTTTGAATAAATTGAACGGTTATGTAAAAGATGTCACTGAAATTCTTTGTCCCCATTTTAACCAGTATGGGTTTTCCTGTCAGCTATCACTTTTCATTCAAATATTTTATAGGAGACATATTTATAAAGCATTTGTTGTTAATGAAAATATATGAAATTTATTTTGATTGAATAAATTCGTTCGTAGTCATGCCTCAATGATAAATTCTTCTTTATAGAGCTCTGGCAAAAGTTCCGTGATAGAAAGTTTGGTGGGTCGTTCTTTTCTACCACGGGGTCCCGGTATTGTGACTCGCCGACCCCTAATCCTGCAACTGGTGTACAGCCCCAAAGACAGTAAGGAGCATCGGTCAGCTGAAGAAGGTACATCATATAGCATTCATATTTCGTATTAAAACACAAAAACTGTTCAAAAATTGTTATTTCGCGTACAATAGCTTTTAGAGGATATATCATAGTAATCAATACATATTTGATAATTATGTAAATGAACAAACATTTTTCTCGCTGATTCATTGTTATATCAATTACAAAAGAATCCACATTAACCCAGTTATAGACAATTCACTTGAACCCATTACATTTGTTTGTGTTTTTTAAGTCTTTGTTATAATCACACAATGTACACTTGCACTGATTCAATTTTCTGTTCATAACCTTAACTATTGTGTTGTGCGTAAACAACTTTCGTTTAAAACTCACTTCATTTGTTGTATTTATATATAAGAATATATATTTGTAGTTTATTTTATATATTATGTAATTATATTAATGACTCCAGTATATAAGAGGCAGGACGATGGGAATGATTCCTGGAATCCATTAGTTCAGCTAACACAAAATATATTCTCAAAAGGTTTGTATTGTTTTGGACTTAGGACTTAGTTGTGTCCATAATATATATTAAGAGATATTAATAGGTGAACCACATGCATATTATATGTGTAAATATATAATAATTAATATTTTTATAGTATAATTATGTATAATTTTCTCATAAAAAAATACTCTGTTTTAGTTATGATATGTATATTTTGTTTTAGGTACAGTAAATCTTGAAGAATGGGGTAAATTCTTGCATACAAAAGACAAGATATATTCAGATTTTGAAGAAATAAGAAAGGAAATTGAAAGAGAAACCGACCGTATGGCCGGCAGCAACAAAGGGATATGTCCCGAGGCTATCAACCTGAAGATATACTCAACCAGAGTTGTTAATCTGACACTCGTAGACTTACCTGGTATTACTAAAGTGAGTTTAACACACATTTTCACTCAAAAATATTATAAACTAGTAAACCTGGCGAACTCCGTTTCGCCACCAGAAGGCTTTTATATAATATTTCGTTTGGTGATTAAAAGATGAAGATATTTTTTGTTTTATATTTGAAAAGGAAAATTATTATTTCATTTCACAACAGTAATGAATTCATTTCGATTACAAAAATGAAGTGTTATTTAGTTAAACTTCTCTAAGTAAATGAAAGTGAATCCAAAGTAGATACCGAATCGAAGCGTTATACGTGTCCGCAAATTATCCGTTTCATTGAAGTGGTCCTTTGTAAACCACATTTTTTGCTTTTTGGTCTAAGTTTAACACAAATAAAGCGGATGGTTTCCAAACTCGTGAACATGCAAAATATAACGCCCATGTGAAAAACAATGATTTTCTAAATTTATCCCGCAAATACTAAATGGTTTTAAGAGTTCAAACTACAAACACAATACCTAAATATTTTTATTTTTATATAGTAGATTTATTACAAATATCTAATTGTCATCCCTACGTCATTACATATCTGTCATTATATGTCAATTGCATAGCTGTCAATTGTGTTTCGTTATTCCACGTTTTATAATGACTGACGTTTCATGTCAAGTCCCACGGGAATGCTGTCGAACGGGATAAAAAGTATCCTATTGCAATTTCCTGGTTCTAAACTACCTCCCTGCCAATTTTCAGCTAAATCGGTTCAGCCGTTCTTGGGTTATAAGTGCAGTCACTAACACGACTTTCTTTTATATATATAGATATGCTTTTAATGATTCAAACTTAATATCCACAGGTGCCTATCGGTGATCAACCGGAAGATATTGAAAATCAAATTAGAAACTTAATAGTTAAATACATAGCGAATCCAAACTCTATAATCTTAGCTGTGACGGCTGCTAACACTGATATGGCAACCAGTGAAGCTATCAAACTAGCAAAGGATGTTGACCCCGATGGAAGGAGAACACTCGCTGTGGTCACCAAGCTTGATCTAATGGATGCAGGTAAAAATAAACTGTTTTTATTAGTTATACTTTTGTAGTATTCAATAAAACAATATTAATTTAGTCATGTATGTATTGTGCTAAGGAGCAAACTGAATGACAGCAACTAATAATATATAGTCCACCACATTTATACAGTCCACCGCCTTTTAATTGTCTCGAATGAGCTACCGAGCCCCAACAGTAATCTACCTACATTATACTTGACATCCTATTATTATTTAATAATATCAAGCAAGTATAACTAATACATAACATACCTTTCCCCCAAGTATATATAAAGTACAAAATAACATATATATCAAACTAAGAACTAATGAAAATAAACATTTAACAACTTATATTATTTGAGTAATTATGATCTATAATTCTAATAAAAAGCATGTAATGATACTAAATTAATTTAAATAATTAGTTGGAACATTTGGTCTATCATATGGTGACTTTGAATTATTATTATTTATCTTTGTTTTAACTTTTCCTCCAGCATAAGTTACTTCACTCTGAGGTGGGATCCCTAACATGGTCGCCCACTGATCCTCATCCGGCACTTGTACTATATCCTCAGAGCCATCACTTTTCTCTCCTCTCTCATCCTTTTCTTCCCCTTCTCCATCATTTGTCACTATTACATCAGACTGTTTGCTTGGAATCAGCTGATCAATGTGTCTATTCACGAGAGTACCATCTTGTGTCTCCACTTCAAAGTTAGATGCTCCTCTTCTATTTCGGATTATTCCTGGTAACCATCGTGGACCATTATTAAAATTACGGTACATATTTTTTTTTTGTATATCTATTTTTCGGGGATACTTTTGAGAATTATTGACAATTTGTTCCCTCCTTTTTTGCTTTTGACGATTGTCTGGGTGTATAGTATCCAATAAAGTATGTAATCGTCTGTTCATTAATAATTCACCTGGACTTTTATTAGTCGCAGTGCAAGGCGTTACTCTCAAACCTAAAAGCATGTTCGGAATTTTAACATCCCAACAGATACCTTCCATCTTCCGCAATTTATCTTTTACAGTCTGCACCATTCTTTCAGCTAACCCGTTAGTAGCGGGATGGTATGGGGCTGTAGTTACATGTCTAATTTTATTTGATATCAGAAAATTCTTCATTTCTGAAGACACAAATGAGGTTCCATTATCTGATACTAACGTTTCACACAAACCATGAGTAGCGAATACATTCCGAAGATGGCGAATAATTGTACTTGAATTCATATTGTTTTCTATAAAGACCTCTGGCCATCGCGAATAAGCAACAACAATAATTAAAAATATCTTGTTTTGAAATGGCCCCGCAAAATCTACATGAATCCGAGACCAAGGTTTAGTTGGTGTCACCCATTCGCAACTAACTTTAGGTGGAATGTGTCGGTTCTCCAAACATTTATCGCATCGTGATACTAAGCTCTCTATGTCGGTATTCAATTGTGGCCACCAAACATAACTCCTTGCCAATACTTTCGTTTGCACAATGCCACTGTGTACTCTGTGTAAGGCTCTTAAAACATGCTCACGGAGTTCTGGCGGAATTACTACACGACAGCCAAGTAAAACACAATCCTCGTGCAATGATAGTTCTGAACGATGTAACCAATATGAGTGTAAGTCTTTATCATAAACTTTAGAAGGCCAACCGACAAGTATGTAATGACAAACACGAGACAATACACGATCTTTCTTTGTTGCTGTAGCTATAAGATCCACGTCAACGGGAAATTCTGAAGGTGTTTCTGCCATCAGCAAGACATCATACAGTTGCTGTTCTGGTTCTTCCGGCACCGGTTGCGGCCAACGACTTAATCCGTCAGCATTACTAATTTCTTTTCCTGGCTTATAAACAATGTTGTAACTATAAGTTGACAACATTAACGCTATTCTTGTCAACCTTGGAGACAAAACTGTAGGCATAGGCTTTTTAGAATCAAAAATACTGACTAATGGTTTATGATCTGTGACAATAGTAAACGAACGGCCCATTAAATAATTATGAAACTTATTTATTCCAAAACTGATTGCAGTGGCTTCCTTGTCTAATTGAGAATAACGTCTCTCATGCACATGTAACGTCCTCGATCCCATCGCCACTGGACGCTCCGCTCCGTCTTTCATAATGTGTGGAAGAACAGCACCAACTCCGTATTCAGAACTGTCACATGTAAGAATCAACGGTTTATTGAGATCATAATGAACGAGAGTTAATTCTGACGATAATAAACGTTTAGCGATATCAAAACTGTGCTGTTCACGTTCAGTCCATTGCCATACTTTAGCCTTTTCGAGCAATCTATGTAGAGGTTCAAGGACAGTAGCCTTGTGAGGTATGAACCTCTCGTAAAAATTGTATAACCCTAAAAATGCTTGCAGTTGTTGTACATTCTTAGGTTCCGGAGTATTTATTATAGATTCAACCTTACTTGGAGCTGGGTGAATACCATCGGCATCAATAATGAACCCTAGAAATTCTACTCGTTTTTTGCAAACTTACATTTATCCTTATTGAGCCGTAGGCCTGATTTTTCAATGCGATGTAAAACTTGGTCCAAACGTTCAGTCATCTCCTCTAATGTGTAGCCACTTATAATTATGTCATCAATCAGTATTGCCACTCCTTTTATTCCTGCCAACAAAGCTGTCATTAATCGCTGAAAAATTCCGGGACTTGCCTTTACACCAAACGCGAACCTATGTACAGAGTACAGTACTTTGCAAGTATTTAAAGTTAATAATTTTGATGTAGAGTCTGTAACCACAACTTGTGTATAGGCTCTCTCCAAATCGAGAGTTGAGTAATAACAGCCTCCTGCAATTGTCGCGAACACCTCACTTGCTGTAGGCATTGGGTATGTATCCGACTCAGTCGCCTGGTTGACAGTACTACGGTAGTCTCCACATAAACGTATATCACCATTTTTTTTACAATAGGTACCACGGGTGTGGCCCAATCTGAAAAAGATACGGGTCGCAATACCCCCTCTTCTACCAATCGATCAATTTCTTTTTCAATTCTTTCTTTTAAAGCGTAAGGTACAGGTAGAGTTTTCAAAAATTTAAGACAACAACTTGGTTTCAACTGTATCTCAACAGGGTTACCTCGGTAGGTACCGAGCCCGTCCTTGAAAACGTTTGAGTATCTACTGATTACTTTATCAACACCTGTCACATCAAGGTCAATTAAGTTAATGTTTAATGTAATACCGAGTTCTTTAAACCAGTTGCGTCCAATCAAGTTAGGACCAACTCCTCGAGCTACGACAATATTTAAATTACACTTAATGTCCTTATATTGAACCCGCACTAAGGTTTGTCAAATTACATCCACTGGTGAACTGTTCCACGTACACAACTTATTCGATAATACTTTTAAAACACTACTATTTTTTAACTTTCTCCAAGTCTGTTGATTAACTATTGAATAAGCAGCTCCCGAGTCCACTTCCATCGTAACTGGTACGCCGTTTAGTAAAAGAGTAATACTGTAGGCTGGTATGCGCGTGAATGAAGTTTTCAAACTGTAAATGCCATTCAACTGAATATGATCTTAATTGTCTGCGTAATTTACTTTATTCGTATTCTTTTTCTTAGATGTACAATTTTTTTCAATATGACCACTTTTCTTACAATAATGACAAATCGCATTAATAAATCGACATTCACCGCCATGACGATCACCGCAGCGATAACATAATCTTGTAGTATTATAACTCCTTCTTAATTGCATCGCGTTAACATCCATCGGTTCATACGGTGCCTGTGATGACGTCATCTGGATGGATGAACTAACATCCTTATGTATATAACTGCCTGTAGCATTCATCATGCGAACATCTCTCCCTGCACTCTCAGACGACAACATAGCCTCCACCACATTTTCATAACGTAGATTGTCTTTTTTTAATAATTCATATTGCAATTTCTTGTCAGTCATACCACAAACGAGTCGATCCCGAAGCATACGTTCTAAGTCAGTAAAGTTACAGCCAGCACTCAGTTTTCTAACACGTGCTATATAAGCCGACACTGATTCACTTTGGTCTTGATCACACTTATGAAATTGGTATGACACTGAAATTTCATTTGGCTTCGGACTAAAGTGTTTTGTAAGAATACATACAACTTCTGAAAAAGTTACTTCGTTCGATTTTCTTGGTGTGATTAATGCAAGAAGAGTTTCATAAACTTGAGAACCACAAACTGTATAAAAGTTCGCCCTTTGAACCGCGTCCGCCGTAATTCCATTCGCTTCAAAACAGTACTTCAATCTTTCAATGTAATTGTCCCAATTATCACTTTGCATATTGAATTCATGAAATTTAACACATTTTCTTTCCATTTTTAAGTTTTTATACCCCGTCGCCAATATATATACCTACATTATACTTGACATCCTATTATTATTTAACAATATCGAGCAAGTATAACTAATACATAACAACTTTTCTAGAATATTCTATACAGGGTGACTGGTGAATTACTATCAATATTTAAGGAGAATACTCGGTACATGATTCTCATTCGAATTATGTAAAAAAAATAGGCACTTAATTTTTGACAAAATTTCCGTATAAATAAATAAAGTGTTGACACGTTCCAAGTGTTCCTAGTGTGGAAGCGTGCGGCGGCGTGCTGATACAAGACTACGCTTCCGCACGCGTATGTGTGAGTGTGTGTGTATACCTAATCTGTAGGGTGTTCACACTATGCGTAATTAATTACACATTTATGTTATATTAATTTTTATTTTGTCATATATGATCGTCAAATATAATGTCCTCAAGTATCGATAGTAATTCACCAGTCACCCTGTATACATAAAAATGAATTGCTGTTTGTTAGTCTCACTAAAACTTGAGAACGGCTGAACGGATTTATCTTATCTTAGTCTGGAAATATTTGTAGAGGTTCAGGGAATGTTTAAAAGCTGAAAAAAATTGAATCATTGCCGGGAAAACCCTAAAAACAGCGCTTTTCCATTTCCCATACAAACATTTTTTTGACATTAGATTTAACAACTAACTTATATGTCAATCATTCTGTCGCACTTCAGAGCAAAAAGATTTTTGGCTTAAAAGTAAATTCCAATAAAATAAGTGAAAAATAATTTATTTATCGATTGAGGCAGTACGAGGTCTGAAGGGTCAGCTAGTTGTTAAATAATAATATGATGTCAACTCTAATGTAGGTAGATGACTTCATTGTATTAGGTTTAACATTTATTAAAATGTTGTAGGAAACAGTTGTGTTGGTCATTCAGTCTTGCTTCTTGCCACAATAAAATTCTAATTAGAAAATAAATATTTTAAATTATACATTTATTACCATTTGTTCCATAGCTGTGTACTCTTCTTTTATTGGTCCATTGTTGGCTGACAAATGATATTTTTATTCCACTTAACATTTTGTATGTTAATTTACATATTGTCAACCAAATTATATAATGAAATGGAATATATTATATATTCCTGTTAAAATCTGAATGACACTTTATTTAAAACAATTGCATTGTTATAATTGATTTCAACTATTACAAAACATAACACATTTCTATAATAAAAAAAACTCTATGGTCTATCATAATAATATAAATATTTTTGAAAATTTAATGCTTCATGCATAATAAATGAGTAATGTTTAGTTGTAATGATTTGTCAGTATTGTTCATTTCAATAGAAAATGTCAATCTTGTAAACAAATGTGATCAGCTGATACTGACAAAGACTTGTCTATGCATCTAGCGATTTGATCTTAATAATTAGATTAAAGTATTTATATAAAAAATTACTTCAATTAGTTCATATTTTGTTAAATATTTATTAGTGAGCTTTTTTTAATGAGTTTAGAAAAGCAGAATGCAAACGAGAACAAAGAAGAGTCGTTGGCATCCCAAAAGCAGTAAAAATCCTTGTTTCCTTGGGAAACCAAGGACCCCAAAGACCATTCCATGAAGGTCAATAAGTATTAAGAGATCACTAACGACTTAAAAAATGTTTAATTTGTACTTTTTTGAGCTCCCTATGTTTTGATCTGTCTGCTAAATACCAGAAAAAAAATGCAATTTTGATTGATTGATTATATCATCATACCTAGTTAGATACACTATCTTTTTAATATTTGTGTGAGTTTGTTAAAGTTCAAATAATAATGATTATAAATATCTTTATTTTAAAATGAATTTCATGTCAGTTTCACCACTTATATGTAGTTCAAGAATGGCTTTAATACCTTTAAGGAGAAACAGATTTTTGTTTCGAATTGACTAAAGCTGTTAGTCCTAATGGCTTTCACAGCTTCACCGAGAGGGATGATTTTAACAGAGAAACAGAGTTCCTCAAATCAGCTATACATTTCTGAGTTTGAAAGTAAAGTAAAGGAAGTCGCGTACAAAAAATAGTTCATTGTATGTATAATTATTATGTAAAACACTAATTTTTCAAAGACAAATAGACTGATGAGTAAAAAATGATCATGTCAATTTCACAAATGCAATAAATTTTCGTTTTCAAAATCTTTTATAAAATACACATATTTACACAGTTGTTTAATGATGAGAAGATTGTTAAAATCAGTGGTGGGTTCATTGAGATGTAATTATAATCAGGACTCACATTCGATTGTATGTAAGAACGGAGTAATCGTGGTCAATTTGCTTTGTTTACAAGATTGCCAATTTCTATTGAAATGGACTATATATGTAAGTGTTGCTCTCTGTAATGTGTTGTTCTAAATTCTAGTATACATATACTATAAGTGTTGTTCTGTGTCCAGGCACGGACGCCATAGACATCCTGTGCGGGCGAGTCATACCCGTCAAGCTGGGGATCATTGGGGTGGTGAACAGGTCGCAGCAGGACATCATCGATAAGAAGTCTATTACGGTATACATATATGAGTGTGTGTGTGTGTGTATATATATATGTGTATGTGTAGGTATAAATAGTATATGAGTGTGTGTGTGTGTATATAAATGTTGTATCTTAAAACTTTACATACAACAAGTTTCCAATAAATAAAAGATTTTAAACTATTATTATAATCTAAGAAATAATTACCATGATACAGGCTTATTAAAGTGATTATCTGAGTAAAAAAATCTGAATAATAAAAAGTTGGCCGTTTTTTTTATAAATATGAAGAATTGGTTTTCACAACTAAGTTTTGCCCGCGTCTATGCTCGTATTAAATCAATAGTTAGTCCGTGTTAATTACATATTAAATATTAACTATGTGATGGTATTTTTTAATTTTAAATTGATAAAAAATGTAGTTCAGTATAAACCATCAGTTAAATTCATATTATTATGCATTCGACATTAAAGCGACGTGCAGCTAATATTTGAATTAAAATTTAAAATTAATAGAGAAAGATACATATTAAGTCGAGCCGTTCCAAATATTGCCGGATATCCCCGAACGTGCCCGACTATCGAGTTAAATGCTTTTGATTACAATTTCAAATCAAGTAAGGAGTAAAAGTAGCTTCATCGTATTGAAAGTATTGCACAACATATGACGTGTAACTTAAACAATTATCTACATTTATTAGTCGAAAATATAAATTGTTATCGCTGATGCGTATTAGTTTTTGAGATGAATGAAATAAATATCAGTACGATTAATTTAAAAAATACAAATATAGAAGTCATTTCCGCGGCTTTGTCTGCGTTTTTTTGTTATTGGGGTCAGAGAGAAAATGAATGTGTTCAGTATATTAGAAAGTTAACCGATCTACAGCGACATCTATCGTCTATGTCACTTAATTATACATTACATACTGAAGTAGTAATTAGTATAAACTACACGGATCGAAAGGATAAATTATAGCCTAGTGTTGCTCTAGTTTCTCACCATATGATTGAAGATTTTCATCGAAATCAGTTCAGTATGTCCTCGCAACAAACTCAAATATTTATATCATCAGCCTATCAGAGCCCACTGTTGAGCAAAGGCCTCTTCTCACATGGAGAGGGTTTGAGCATTAATCACCATGCTTTCTCAAGACGGGTTGGTGATTTCAAACTTATAATTTGAGCTATAAGTCCAGGTTTCCTTACGATGTTTTCCTTCATCGTCCGTCATTGGTGTCTAAATACTCTAAGAAAGTATATATGTCTCGGAAAAATCACATTGGTACTGGCCATGTTTCGAACCCGCGCCCTCATGGACGAGAGGCGAGCCTTTAACCACTAGGCCACCACTGACTCAAATGTTCTATTTGACTGTGTCCAAGGATTAGTTGAATATTATAATTAGTCGCATATGGATGTGTTCTATGTAAATTTAGCCATTTTCATTTTTTTTTGCTTTGAACACTTCATAATACTGTATTCTACAACATCCATTTAAAAAAATGTGTATTTGTTGCCGGAAAGACTTAATTTAATTTTTATTTCAGTAAAAAACATAAGTAAGACACTTTAACGTATGAGGGCTTATATAATGTATATAAAAATATATACATTTAAAAAAGTAGTTGGTTTACAAAAAAACTTATTAAGCTTAAATGACTTACATCTAAGTCATAGTTGATATGCAAAATTTCAAAAGCGTCAGTTGTCACATGTACAAGATACATTGAAATCAAACTTAAAAAGCCTCTAGTGAAAAATTGACATTTTTATAAAGCCAGCCATCGATATAAAGCATATAGATTAATATTGGATAATTATGTTATTACAGGACGCGTTAAAGGACGAGGCTACCTATCTCCAGAGGAAGTATCCCACCATAGCTTCAAGAAACGGCACGCCCTACCTCGCTAAGACACTCAACAGGCTGCTCATGCATCATATACGGGATTGTCTACCAGAATTGAAGGTATCATCTATATATACTAGAAGAGCCGGCGAACTTCGTATCGCCCTATAATCAAGAAATATCTGTTACGTTTTTTTTATTTATATTTTTGGAGTTTACCTATCAAAGCCATAAATCTCCGTGTTTTGAAGTGCGACAGAATGATTGACATATTAGTTAGTTGTCAAATCTAATGTCAAAAAAAACGTTTGTATCAACAACTACTAATAAATTAAAAATTAATTAAAAAAACATTGTCCAGCGGACAAAATTGTGAATCTAAACAATTCCCAGATCCCTTTGAACACACACAAAAAATTTCATCGAAATCGGTCCAGTCGTTTGAGAGAAGTTCAGTGACATACACATTCACAGAAGAATTATATATATATATATATATATATATATATATATATATATATATATATATATATATATATATATATATATATATATATAATAAAAGAAAGTTGTCTTAGTTACACTTTATAACTCAGGAACGGCTTTAGGGATATGGTTGAAAGTTAGCTGGGAGATAGCTTAGAACTAGGAGACGGACATAGGATATTTAATTCTGTTAGATCGAAAAAAAAAACAAAGAAACTCCAATAATTATATATAGTAACCTCTAGGGCGGAATAGAGTTCGCTTGGTCAAGCTATACATATACCACTAATTCCGAAACTAACGTGGACAAAGTTACGGATGAAAACTAGTAATATATGTATCCTATAAATCAGATATTACAAACATTGTTATTTAACTATTAGTCTGTCTTTCAGCATGTGCTATATCTGAGACATATAGCTTAAAAACATTTTATTCTTATAGCATATTTAATAAGTTCTAAGACAAACAAATTAAAACACTTATACATATATATTTACTTGTGGTTCATAATTTATAAGTGGTGTAAGGTCAAAATATACTTACAATTACTGTGCATATACATATGTATATGCATAGTCCGCGAGACTTATGCTGAGCTTTGCATTTGTGTGAGTGAAAGTAAATGTAGGTTTAGGAAAAATCTTTCAGAATTCAATTTTATTATATTTTAAATACATACATAGCATAAATGCGAAAGCTATTCTAGATTAGGAAGAAAATAACCAAACCTTGTGACAGGCTAGATGTAAATATTATAAAAATAATAAGAATTTATAAAAATGTTGAAAAAACCTATCAAATTCTTCTTCATTTGCCATCGCGTTTTCAACATTTGATGCTGCTACCAATACAAAGGGTGAAGTGCGGAAGGTGGGGGGCGGAGTAAAAGCAGTATAAACACGTTCAAACCCAGAAACAAACGTAGCACGCACAAATTTGTCATTACACCTACACTATCCATGTGCACTCATATAAATGCAAAGCTCAGCTTATGAGTCGCGCACTATAATTTGTATTAATATAATGTTTTTTCTTCCAGGTCCGCGTGAACGTGATGATATCCCAGTTCCAGTCTCTACTGAACTCGTACGGCGAGGACGTGTCTGATAAGTCTCAGACTCTACTTCAGATTATAACCAAGTTCGCGAGCGCCTACTGCTCTACCATAGAGGGTACGGCCAGGAACATAGAGACTACGGAACTATGCGGCGGAGCCAGGATATGTTATATATTCCACGAGACATTCGGACGAACGCTAGACTCTATACATCCATTAGTTGGTGAGCATTATGCTTAAAATATTCACATTCATACTAAAATTGATATAATTGAAATGGAAAATGTATAAAAATTTATGTATGTTAAATAGTTTGTGTTTAGAATATTTCTACCAGGAATATCATGAAGAAAACAATTTAGATTTAAGTAATACAAAATTTATAGACAATTACTAAAATGTGTTTTGTGTGACGTCATTTTGGATATAAACCAGATATAAGTCACCTATTACAAAATGTATCAACAATTTGATGTGAAATTTGTTCATTTTGGCTGAATTAAGTTATAAGATATCTTCATTAGTATGTGTTTGTTATATTTCCAGGTCTAAGTCGTATGGACATCCTGACGGCCATCCGTAACGCCACAGGTCCTCGGCCCGCTCTGTTCGTACCCGAGGTGTCGTTCGAGTTGTTGGTTAAGAGACAGATTAGGAGACTGGAGGATCCTTCACAGAGATGTGTGGAACTGGTACATATATAACATTTACATTACTTTTTATGCTAAAGGGGATGTAGTTTTGTATTAGACAGCCTACCTGATGAAGGTAGTACCGTCGCCCATGGACATCCGCAACATAAAAGATGTTCTTTAGGTATGGTTGGGAGGAAAAAGTTTGACAGGGAATGAATAGCAAGGAATGGGAAAAGGGAAAGGGCAACCGGCTCTCTCACTCATCGGACGAAACGCAGCTAATAAAGACTACTTTATTCCGATCTTCTGTGAGAGGGTGGTACTTCCCCGATCGAGCCAGCCCATGTTCGAGCTGTAGTAACTTGACCACAGCTAGGCTCTAACCTAACCTATAAAAAATACTTACTAGACCCTGTTAAATTATCACAAGTAATAATTATTATGACACTGTACAGAAGTGCTATGTGTAGTATAAAATATATGGAAATATTGTGTTAAAATTAAAAAAGCCGACATTAGTTATGTATATTAATTGAATTTGAGTGTGGTTCTTATGTGATTGGTGTAGGGTTTAACTCTCAATATATTTGTGTCTCATCTGTTTAGAGAGGAATGTAGCAAACAGTATAATGTGATATATTAAAACTGTATGTAACATTAATCTCTATTGATAATATTTTAAACCTAATACTTGGATAAGATACTTAACAATGAGTGAAGAAGTGTGACGAATAAAGGGACGAGATATTCTATGTGTAGTTCATGAGGGTAATAGATATTAGAGACAGGATTGCTCATATTTACCACTAGAGTCAAAATCAGTTTCAAAAAACAGTTATGAATATAAACTACATATAAATAATAAAATAATATTATTATTATCATTATAATAATACTGTTTCTGAGATGTGAAATCTCTCAATTATAGTGTTAACTAATACTGAGTAATATGTTGCTTTTTATATTGACATAATACTTATATATATATAATATTTTTTGCTCTCGTCACTTAGAATAGTTTTAAGTTATTTCAGCACTCAATTTATTGTAAAAGATCATCATAATACTCACTTATAAATAATTGTAACAGTCACTAATTAAATATTTGTTATTATTCGAGTTTGTATCTATAATCTATGTAATAGATATTAAACACTGTCTCATGTACCCCACTAGAGGGGGCGACATTCGCTCGGCAGTCTCACGACTAGCGTGGAGCAGAACGGGGACGTGCGTCGCTCTTGGCGGGGTAGTAGTGAGACAGTGACTAGTTATACTTACATAGAGGACCAGAGGGTCCTACATTCTCATAACATATGTATCTGTATATTTTATTATACGTTTTAATCAATTTATTCGACTGTACGTTCCAGGTGCACGAGGAGATGCAGCGCATCGTCCAGCACTGCGGTACAGAAGTACAGCAGGAGATGCAGCGCTTCCCGCGACTACACCAGAGGATAGTGGACGTGGTCACACAACTACTGAGAACTAGACTACCCGCTACCAACTCTATGGTAAACATATAAATATAGACCCACGTGAAAAGGACTATATATTTTATATATTCAAAGATACTTGAATGAATTATACTACGCGACTTTATTTTTGTAAAAAACTACATACTCCCGACGTTTCGGTTACTTTTCAGTAAAACGTGATCACAGACAGACGAGATTTGGTACAAAAATAAAATCGCATAGTATAATGTGAAGAATATTAGTTTCATTTGAAATTTTAAAAGAATAAAACTCGCCAAAATTTTAAATCTCATTATATTCCAAGATAATTTTAAATTCTGTGTTATTATTCAGCTGGAAAAAAGAGAATGAATGATAATAATTTTTCTATAATTAACTTGTACTAGTTAATTATAATGTACATTTTAATATGTCATTGTTCAGATGAAACAAAATAAGCAATATGAAAATTCTTTGTTGATTCGTCTTTTCTTGATATGTTGTAGTAGCCTAGAGGTTAAATGCTCGCCTCTCGAGCACGAGGGCGCGATCCTGGCAGGGTTCGATCCTGGCAAGTACCAATGTGATGTTCAGAGTCATACGTACTTTCTAAGAGTATGTAGACATCACTGACAGACGGTGAAAAAAAAACATCGTGAGGAAACCTGGACTTATAATTTCAATTATAAGTTTGAAATCGCGATCCGTCTTGAGCAAGCGTGGTGAATAATGCCCAAACCTTCTCCATGTAAAAAGAGGCTTTTGCTCATCAGTGGGCTCTAATAGGCTAATGATGATGATTAATCTTCACCATAATCTATTGATATATTTCAGGTTGAGAATCTGGTGGCCATAGAGCTAGCGTACATCAATACTAAACACCCGGACTTCCACCGCGAGGCGGCGCTAGTGTCGGGCCTTCTAAAGAGTACCGACGGCATAGTAGAAGATCACAGCCCCATGTTCAGACAGAAACCTCGACCCGCCTCTACGGTAGCTACTGTCATTAAAGTATATATATATTGTATGAATTATATATGTGGAGCTAACAATGGCCATCATTAACTAAGAATATCATCTGGTGAAGTTTACGTACTAACAGACACTAACACAATCATAATATTCATATATAGCAATAATTTTTTTTTCACTTCAGTTCAAGATTGTCTTCTTTAAAGCTAAGCGTCACTGTAAATTTTCTCCGAATATAATTTTAATCAAAATTTTATATATTTTACTGAGTTTTTAATAAATAGAACATTATTTTAATATTTTTTTTACGTTTACTAGTAATAGAATTAAAAGTACGTTCTGATAAAATTACTCGATGGATTCGCTAAATGTTTGTTTGTTTGTATGTACCTATTTCAGGAGATATATCGTCGATGAGGAACCAATACCACCTAACTGACAATTTAGTCCAAAAGTACTTTTTTATAACAATAGACAAAAACCTCATATTCACATAGATTGAATTCACTTCTATCCAATATTTCTTTACCAAACAGTTTCTTGAGCTATGTGAAAATATTTACTAAGAGACAGAATTCATTCATGCGTGTATATTTTATGGAAATATCTTCTAACTGCAGCAACGAATTATATTTAGAACCATCTTTTTGCTCAATGGCTGATCTATATAACACATACAAAAAGTAGTAGTAGTACATCTGTAGGTTTACATTTAAAAAAGCATTTAACGAGAAAAATTTGTCCTAAGAAACTAAATACCTATAAAATGTAAACATGAACATATCCATTCGTAACTTATAAAAAGGTAATGTATTAGAAACTATTTTACTATCAATAGTTGATCAAAATAAATAACACATTTTTTTTTAAACAGTTTTTTTCTTCTGGTGTAAAATTAGATTCTCAACACTTAGTAGGTATTGGTACTTTATCGACGATTTGTAGAATTAAGAAGTTACTTTCGCATTATCCAGTAATATGTATAAAAGATACAAGTATTTTTACCTAAAATGGACCTAAAGCGCTATCTCTTAGCATAATTTCACTAAAACAATAAATTGATTGTAGTTATTACTACGCCAAATGGGTGAAAGAGGGTCCGTGTTGGTACTTTTGGCCAAAATATTTGAGACGTCCCACAGTGATAAGGTAAATAAAATACACAGCATGTAAAGACATTGACCACGCATCACTCAATATAACAAGTCATGGCTTACAAACAATTGGACTCTCTTTCATCCGGCAATAATGTAAGTTTGGTTATAAAATTAAATACTAAAATAGTTATAAATTATAATTCTCATACTAAATTAACCATTCCATATAATCATATATATAATGTTTAATATATGGCAACTATATTTATTTTTTTGCTGTTTACATAATTGTAGTTTTTGTATGTATAAAGATGAGTGGCAGTTAGAATAGTGCAAGGAAGAGTGGAAGAATATTTAATATCAGTCGAAGTCGCGGGCTAGAATTAGTTTTGCTATATATTTCATTGTTTTTAATTGGTTTTCCAGCACGTGCCGGCTATAACAGATGGTCAGGATAGATCTCCTCCACAGAACAACTTTGACTCTGCGCCTCAGGTGGGTTAATGCATTGATATAGTTATGAAAACACTAGGAAATTTAAATGAAACTATTATTTTTTTGGATTATATTACACGTATTTAATTATTGTAAAAACTACATACTCCCCAAGCTTAAGTTGCTTTTCAACAACCGTGATAGCAGGCAGAAGAGATGTGAAAAATACGCGTAGTAATCCGAATAATATTAGTTTCATTTAATGTCTCTCGCTGAAGTATTAGATCTCATTATTAGAAAATTTTCTTAAAGTCAAAGTAAAATCGGAAAAAAATGTATTTATAGTTGCTTAAATATTAAAAAGAATTCAAAAATCCTTTTGCCATGAGTCTATTACGTGACACGGTACGAATTATTTCGAGTTTTTCATACACAAGTCTTATATTCACACTGTCATAAGTGAAGATGTATGAAGTAATGAATGTAATAAAATACTCTATGTAGTGTAATCATGGTACTAACGAACTTACTGCCTCCAGGTGAATGGGAGCCCGGAGAATAAGGCTCTGACGCCTCAGAAGCCTGTGAACCTGCTGCCGGAAGTACCCAGCCAGACCTCCCGGAAACTGTCGGACCGAGAGCAGCATGACTGTGATGTCATTGGTTAGTATATTATGTATATATGTATATATATGTATGTATGTTACAGTGTTACTCATATAAAGAATAGTTCATATATGGCAATATAGTTTATATATGGCAATAACTAACGCACAAGATTCAAATGTATTATTTGATTTATCAATAAATTCAGATCAAAAATTCAGATTAATTTTTTTTTGAGGGACTAATACGTGATTATATTTTTAATTAATTTTGATCACAAGTTAGTTTTTATCCGATATTTGAAATTCTAGAGATTTTTAATAATTATCGTGTTTTATACGACACATAAATACTTATTAGATCTTTACTTATATCTCAGATAATTGTAAAGACAGTTAAAAATGGCCTGTGAAAGGAAATAAAAATCATTGCATATGTGACATAACGAAAACGACTATGATACTTTAATATTGTTATGTTCATTAATCTTATTAACTAACATTTTATTTTGTCATATCTTGGAACAAATATACAGGGTGACTGGTGAATTACTATCAATATTTGAGGACGTGATATTTGACGATCATATATGATAAAATAAAAATTAATATAACATAAATATTAATAAACTTCTAAGTAAAGTTAACCAAAAGTTGTGTAATTAATTACGCATCGTGTGAGCACCCTACAGATTAGGTATACATCCACACTCACACATACGCGGCGGGGGCGTGGTGTTGTATCAGCACGTCGCCCTGCGCGTCCACACTTGAAACACTTGGAACGTGTACACACTTTATTTATTTATACGGAAATTTGGTCAAAAATTAAATACCTATTTTTTTTACATAATTCGAATGAGAATCATGTACCGAGTATGCTCCTTAAATATTGATAGTAATTCACCAGTCACTCTGTATACATATGTCGTTGGGGACACTGCAAATCCACGGAATTATTATTTATTGTTTAATTTATTACTAATTATGAAAAAATTACCTTAAAACTCGATAATTTTCAAATGTAGATATGCGGAATTATCCAATGGTATATGTAATTATGATTTACTGTCCCCGACGATATGTAATATAAAATATATGTATAGAAGCATAACACGTGATAATTTTGGTTGATGCTAGGTGGGAGGGAGCATGTGTACCAAAAGTCTAATAAGGTAGTCGACGGCATCTGTATGATGCAGTTGAACCATATGGGTGACCTCGTGGGTGAGGAGACATTACGTTTATAGGTTTCCTGCCACCTCTCATCTCCACGCTTGTTGCTTGACGCTTCCTACATCAATAGATGTGGTCTTGCTGTACTATCGTTTAATTTTCGTATTTATTTCTAACCTTATATACTTAGTCATGTATGTGTTCTATGTCATATATCGCACGCGCAGTGGTTTCACACGTCATCGTACAAACCATTCGTTCGTATCGTACATCGTTCGTGAGTGAATGAATGTTCCGTTCTTCCAGAGCGCCTGATCAAGTCGTACTTCTACATCGTCCGTAAGTCCATCAAAGACTCGGTGCCCAAGGCCGTGATGCACTTCCTCGTGAACTACGTGAAAGACAACCTGCAGTCCGAGCTTGTCACTCACCTGTACAAGTCGGACCAGGCTGAGAGTCTGCTCAACGAGTCCGAGCACATCGCGCAGAGGAGGAGGGAGGCCGCTGACATGCTCAAGGTCACCGCTCCCACACACACACACACACACACACACACACACACACACACACACACACACACACACACACACACACACACACAGACACACACATACACATACACAGACATGACACACATACATATATTCTTACACACACATACATGCATACATGCTTAAAAAGAAAGACATCCAAAGGATTCTAGCTTCAAATCCAGCTCATATAGTACATAGTATCTTTCATTATGTACCATCTATTTGACTGTATCCAACTATTAGTTGATCATTACTAATCGTTTTGTATCTGATACATACAGGCGCTCCAGCGAGCCGGTCAGATCATCAGCGAGATCCGCGAGACTCACATGTGGTGATGCTCCGCAGACAACCCTCGTCTTAGTGAAATGAACTGTGAACGACTTTAGTATGACTCAGCAGAAGAAACCTTCTCATGATATATATTAATAGGTGTATGAGATGTATCTGAACGTCATACTGAACATCCTGTATATAAGTTAACTGTTCTCAGTCTGTCGCACGCCGCTCCTCATGACAATTGGGCTTTGAAATTATGAATTTAACCAAATATATGGAGCCAAAGCGTTGATCGCGGATTCCGTTGTTATTAACACGAGATTTAATCGTTGGAAACTGTTGCTTTGTCGAGAACCGAATTTGTATCGTTTTTTTATTATTTCATAGTCTCAGTTACCATTTCACTTTATTAGGTGTTTTATTAAGTCTTAGATACAATGTACTGGATGAGGTCTGTACAGGTGATTGTGGTTCAATGTTTTATCTTAAGATATATCTTCGTATAGATTTAATGTTACACAATTTGTGTGGTGGTATGTTGAATTATTTTAAATTATCGTTTTTTCATTATTCAACATAATAAAAGAATAGATAAAAAATGGGAGAAAATAATTGATATTGCCATTTGAATTCTGTGCCTATAATTTTAATGAAATCTGTACAGATCTCACCTCACTATAGTTTAGTATCAGTGATATTATATATATAAACCGCTATAAGTGTCGCATGTGTATTAAAGGGCTGGTGATTATTTTAATTTGCTTATTTTATCACTATAGATTGGCTCTTGATTTTTACTATTTATATTTTTTGCATCGTTTTATAGAAAGTTCCTGCATCGTGTAGTCGCATGTATCATGAGAGATGTTGTGTTTATGAAGGATTTAGTCACAATTTCTAATAAAATGTCGTATTCCGCTCCTAGCGTATGTATTTATTGTTGTAGTCCGTGTGAAAAGAATTGAATGTTGAAAGAGATGTATTGAGTCTGTTAAAATTATAGATTATTGAGATGTGATATAAGACTTTTATTTGAACCTGGAAATTTTATAGCAGTATACAGAAACCTCTCAGCATTACGAGTGAGTTCGTTAGTAAGCTCGTAATATTTGTTGACCTTGATGGTATGGTCTTTGGGGATGTTGGTTTCCCAAGGAACCGTAAGTTCTATCATCACTACGCGCTTTAAAATTCACGAATACAAAAATATATCTGATCTGGAGGCCGACGTACAATTTTGTATTGTTTTTCATGACGTGTTCATTATTTAGTCTCGTTACTAGTGATCGTTTGTTAAATTATAAATTAAATTCACTAACACACGTAATTTAACCATGAATACCTGCAGCCTTGTTAGAAAGTTAGTTGAAACTGAAAAGAATCGAGGAGGTAGTCGAAGGATCTGCATGTCGGTATTCGTATTAGACTTATTTGTTAACCTTTGCTGAATTAAATGGTGAGATTTTGAAGAAATAACAAAGGAAATTGAGAGAGAAACAGACCGTATGGCCGGCAGCAACAAAGGGACATGTCCCGAGGCTATCAACCTGAAGATATACTCAACCAGAGTCGTTAATCTGACACTCATAGACTTACCTGGTATTACTAAAGTGAGTTTAACACACATGTTCACTTAAAAATATTATAAATATGCTTTTAATGATTCAAACTTGCCGTAATATCTACAGGTGCCTATCGGTGATCAACCGGAAGATATTGAAAACCAAATAAGAAACTTAATAGTTAAATACATAGCGAATCCAAACTCTATAATCTTAGCTGTGACGGCCGCTAACACTGATATGGCAACCAGTGAAGCTATCAAATTAGCAAAGGACGTTGACCCCGATGGAAGGAGAACACTCGCTGTGGTCACCAAGCTTGATCTAATGGACGCAGGTAAAAACAAACTGTTGTTTATTCATTATACTTTTCTAGAATTGTTCAATAATAATATGATGTCAGCTATAATGTAGGTAGATGACTTTATTGTATTAGGTTCGATCATTCAGTATTGCTACTTTTCACAATACATAATATATATAAACATGTTTATACATATATAATTTAAATGATACATTTATTACCATTTGTTACATAGCTGTATACTCTTATTTGTCCATTGTTAGCTGACTAATGATATTTTCATTGCAATTAACATTTTAAATTTTAATTTACATATTTTCAACAGAATTTACTCATGAAACATATCAAGATAATAAACAGATTTTAACAAGATATGCAAAACATAACTCTTTTATATCACAATTATATGTTAAAAAAATTCTATGGTCTATAATAATAATATAAATATTTTTGAATATGGAACACTATCCCTACTAATATAATAAATGCAAAAGTAACCTCTGTCTGTCTGTTACGCTTTCACGCCAAAACCACTGAACTGATTTTAATGAAATTTGGTACAGACATACAGTTGACCTTGAGAAGGAACATAGGATAGTTTTTATCCCGGACTTCTGAAGTTTTTCTTAGAAACGCTATATAACCGAACTCCACGCGGGCGAAGCTGCGGGCGGAAATGTATTGTGCCTAAATCATATCATTGAACATGAGTTAGCTATGCCTTTTTATATACATTATGGTTTGCGAAAACTTATTTAAAATATAGAAAAGAAAGCTTATTTATAAAACTAAATTACTTACTTTAATTACTACTTTTACTCCATAACAACGACTTTCACGTCAAACGATTTTGGGCTTTCCCAAGTGCACTATGAGAAAATCGCGTATGTTCTGTCTCAAAACTCCGTATCTCAGTTATTTCAAAACTAAATGATCTATAATTTTAAACGTTTCATGGTTTTAACTTCTAAAATTAAGAAATCCCATACAAACTGTCAACCCTTATTTCACCCCTTCACTGGTTGAAATTTCAAAAACGCTAGAACAAATGTTTAAATATATCCTATCAAGTGCTTAAATATAAAGTTTCATGGTTTTATCTTCTAAAATTAAGAAATCCCATACAAACTGTCAACCCTTATTTCACCCCTTCACTGGTTGAAATTTCAAAGACGCTAGAACAAATGTTTAAATATATCCTATCAAGTGCTTAAATATAAAGTTTCATGGTTTTCTCTTTTAAAATTCAGAATTACCGTACAAACTTTCAACCCCTATTTCAACCTCTTCATCCCCTTTTCCGCAATAAAAGGTAGCCTATATTTTTCTCAGGGTCTAAAAATTGTCTGTGCCAAATTTCATCAAAATCGTTTGAGAGGTTTAAGCGGGAAAGCGTAACAGACAGACAGACAGAGTTACTTTCGCATTTATAATATTAGTTGTGATTGACTCCCGCTCGTACCCCAATGACGCTTACATAAAGCCTACATCGCATGCTGGTTAGCTGAGCGCGATGAGCGTCAACCACGCGACTTTTTTCTAATATTTGCATTTTTAAACTCGTGATATCTTCCGAATGAAATGTCAGAATTGAATAATTCAATAAGTTATGAAAAGGTATTGAAGCCGTCTTGAATATAAAGTAATTTATTTTGATAAGGATTAATACCAAGGTACAAATAAAGAGCCTTTTCAAGCGGCGGTATATAAATTAAATTTTTAGAATAATAAACCGCTTACTGTGACATAACTATAATATTTAGACATATGCTGTCGCGACACTTTTTGTAGATGATAATGAGTTCTGCAAAGTCGTAGTAAATGATTTGGTTCTATCATCAATAGTTTTCGCAGCGCACGCGACGTAAGGAATTTTTCAGATCATTTTTTCACACCTTTGGTTACATTATTGGAGTTTTAGTAAGGATCTCTAATTTCTATTTAAATATAATATAGCTTATATTACTCGGGAATAATGTAGCTTTCTAAAGGTGAAAGATTTTTTGAAATCGGTTCAGTAGTTTCGGAGCCTATTCATAACAAATAAACAAACAAATCTTTCCTCTTTATTATATAAATAACAAGCAATGAAGGATAAATTGAAGTCTAATATTACTCTAGTATTTCATCTATATTCTATATTATTAAAAAGTTTCATAGAAATCGATTTCATACATGATGAAATAAAATAGCTAACAATATTAACGACTTTTAAGGTATTTTTTTTATAATCTATACATATAAAAGAAAGTCGTGTTAGTTACTCCACTTATAACTCAAGAACGGCTGAACCGATTTAGCTGAAAATTGGCAGGGAGGTAGTTTAGAGCTAGGAAATTGCAGTAGGATACTTTTTATCCCGTTCGACAGCATTCCCGTGGGACTTGACATGAAACGTCAGTCACTATAAAACGTGGAATAACGAAACACAATTGACAGCTATTCAATTGACGTATAATGACAGATATGTAATGACGTATTGATGACAATCAGATATTTGTAAGAGATCTTCTATATAAAAATAAGTCTCGGGCTCCGTGAGGTTTATAACAAAAAATTTCAACAGAAAAGCGGGAAAATCTTTTTTCACATACAGCGCCATCATACATAACATGTACTACAAATCAATATTTTAAGTAGATGGTGCCGGTGCATGATGCATTGTTTGTCAGCTACTCATTGTTCTCTGCTCAGTTAATTTCATGTGAGAAACCGGTATTGTGTTTGTCCATTTAGTTTTGCGGGATAAATTTAGAAAATCATTGTTTTTCACATGGGCGTTATATTTTGCGTGTTCACGAGTTTGGAAACCATCCGCTTTATTTGTGTTAAAGTTAGACCAAAAAACAAAAAATGTGGTTTACAAAGGACCACTTGAATGAAATTTGCGGACACGTATAACACTTCGATTCGGTATCTACTTTGGATTCACTTTCATTACTTACTTAGAGAAGTTCAACTAAATAACACTTCATTTTTGTAATCGAAATCGAAATGAATTGTGAAATGAAATAAAAATTTTCAAATATAAAACAAAAAAAAATCTTCATCTTTTAATCACCAAACGAAATGTTACATAAAAGCATTCTGGTGGCGAAACATAGTTCGCCGGGTTTACTAGTTAGTGATAAATTAAACACTAAACAATAACTAATTGTGAAAATATTACCTTAAAATTCGTTAATTTTGAAAATATTTCATCTTAAACTTTCTCCTGATAATCTGCTTTCAATGTAGATATGCGCATTTGGACTATCCCCGACTATACAGGGTGACTGGTGAATTACTATCGATACTTGAGGACGTGATATTTGACGATAATATATGACAAAATAAAAATTAATATAACATAAATATTAATAAACTTCTAAGTAAAGTTAACCAAAAGTTATGTAATTTATTACGCATTGTGTGAACACCCTACAGATTAGGTATACACACACACACACACACACACACACGCGTGCGGTGGCGTGGTGTTGTATCAGCACGCCGCCGCACGCGTCCACACTTGGGACACTTCGAACGTGTCCACACTTTATTTATTTATACGGAAATTTGGTCAAAAATTAAGTACCTATTTTTTTTACATAATTCGAATGAGAATCATGTACCGAGTATTCTCCTTAAATATTGATAGTAATTCACCAGTCACCCTGTATATAACATATATATTATTGTATTGGATATATTTTTCATTTCAGGACGCGTTAAAGGACGAGGCTACGTATCTTCAGAGGAAGTATCCCACCATAGCTTCAAGGAACGGCACTCCCTACCTCGCTAAGACACTCAACAGACTGCTCATGCATCATATACGGGATTGTCTACCAGAATTAAAGGTGTGATGACGTTATAACTATAATAATATCCATATATAAATCAGATATAATTATATAGGGTGGCAGCCAGAAGTTAAAGAAAACTACGAAACTTACTTATATGTTTATAATAATCCGAACACTACATATTAAATCTTTTAACATATACCTAAGACTACATGATTGCCTCCATGTTAGGCTAGCAATGCTATTCCATAGCTTGTGTGATATCAGGAATCTTTAGTTCACACGGCTTGGTGTTCGTTCCGCGGAGTCAGCGGCATCACTCGTTATATATTTTATCCATACAACGATGTTGACCGGCGATATTCATTGAATTTTTAATATGTAGCGCCTATGTACAAATATTCTAAATATAATATTTGTCTATCTGTCAGCTACTCATGCTATATCTGATGGAGTATACTAGTACTTTAGCTACTACTCTAAAACATTTTATTCTTATAGCATCTTTAACTCTTGAAATTCCAAGACAAACAAATAAAAACACTTATAGTCCATTTCAATAGAAATTGGCAATCTTATAAACAAAGCAAAACTTATCACGATTACTCCGTTCTTGCGTACAATGGAATATCAGTCTTGATACTAATTAGATCTCGACGGACCCACTACTCTTTTCATCATTAAACAACTGTCTGTAAATGTTTCTTTTATAAATTTTTTTGGAACACCATAATTTATTGCATTTGTCAAATTGACGCGATTATTTTTAACTGTTCAAAATATATTTGTCTTTGAAAAGTTAGTGCTATATGTACATAATATATAATTATTCAATGAACTACTTGGGCCTGCGATTTCCTTTACTTTACTTTAAAACTTAGAAACCAGTAGAATTCTGTTTCTCCTTAAAGAGAGTAAAGTAGTTCTTAGACTATAAATGGTGTAACTAACACATTGTGTCATTATAAAAGGACATTGATATTAATTATTATATGAACTTTAACCAACTTACAAATATTAATAAGATTTGAAAATTGCATTTTTTCTGGTGCAGACGGAACTAAACATTTTTCAATCGTTAGTGATTTAGTAATACTTATTGACCTTTATGGCATGGTCTTTGGGATCCTTATTTTCCCAAGGAACCAAGGATTTTTAGTGCTATTGGGTTGCAAAAAACTCTTCTATGTTATTGTTTGCCTTCTGCATTTCTAAACTCTTTCTAAAAAGCTCACTAATAAATACTTAATAAAATATGAACAAATTAAAGTAATTTTTATAAATACTTTAATGTAATAGTTTTGAAGTATCTTGAAGAGTGCTCACATCACTAGGGACATAGACAAGTTTTGTTAATATCAGCTGATCACGTTTTGTTTACAAGATTGCCAATTTCTATTGAAATGAAGTATAGATACATATATTTATTTTTCACAATCTATAAATGGAGAAGGATCATACTACACTTATGATTGTATATATATATTAAATTACTAATGCCGAAAATAACGCGGACGAAGTCGCATAAAAAAAGTAACATATATATGTACTTACATAAAATATTATGTTCCAGGTCCGCGTGAACGTGATGATATCCCAGTTCCAGTCTCTACTGAACTCGTACGGCGAGGACGTGTCTGATAAGTCTCAGACTCTACTTCAGATTATAACCAAGTTCTCGAGCGCCTACTGCTCTACCATAGAGGGTACGGCCAGGAACATAGAGACTACGGAACTATGCGGCGGAGCCAGGATATGTTATATATTCCACGAGACATTCGGACGAACGCTAGACTCTATACATCCATTAGTTGGTGAGAATTATGCTTGAAATATTCATATTCATACTAAGATTGATATAATTGGAATGGAAATTACTTTGTGGTGTTATCAATGTACGCTAAATAAATTTATATTTAGAGTATATAAAGTAGGAATATTTTGAAGAAAACAGTTTAGATTTAAGTAATACTAAATTTATAGATGATTACTAAAATTAGTTTTGTGTGATGTCATTTTGGATGAGTCATCATAATAAATGTATATTATAAAGAAACCAGATTTAAGTCACCTAGTACACCATGTATTAACAATTTGGTGTGAAATTTGTTCATTTTGGAAGAATTATAGGAATTAAGTTATTAAAGATCTTCATTAGTATGTGTTATATTTCCAGGTCTAAGTCGTATGGACATCCTGACGGCCATCCGTAACGCCACAGGTCCTCGGCCCGCTCTGTTCGTACCCGAGGTGTCGTTCGAGTTGTTGGTTAAAAGACAGATTAGGAGACTGGAGGACCCCTCGCAGAGATGTGTGGAACTGGTACATATATAACACATTACTTTTTTATGCTAAGACCCAGTTTCACCAATCATTGTTAAATAAGTAACATCGTGTTTAACAACAAGGCGTTTGATGCTCTGTTAGATGAATCGAGCTTCAAACCACGCACAAATGTCCGTTTAAATGTCTTAACAAGCCACTAAAATTAATTCCTGCTCTGGAGCTCCGTATAATGGCTAACAGAATGTTAATGGCATTGTCAAAACTCAATTGTCCAATCACAGCCCTGATTTCTTGTAACCATAGTAACGTCAACTGTTTTGTCAGTTTCAACTATTTCTTTGTTAGGTACAAAGTGAATCAAAATCATCACAGATTTTGCCTCCAGCTTTTTTATAACGTTGCAAATTAAATTTTCTTTTTATCTCTTATAATTTGAACACAAATTATGCCTATATTTATAACATAATAACATATAACAATTTATTGACAACCCGATTTTGACAGGTTACACCTAGTAAATTGAAAAGAAAGCTCTTTGTATGCCAAATGTATGCAACCAACGATATATAAAATTTGGTCGCATTAGCTTACAAGTGACGTATCGAGGGATATATACGATCAAAGTATAAAGTGGTGCATCGTGGCAAACGTGCCGTGTTAAACGCTATAGTTTCCATTAGGTCGTTTTATAACAAGAACGAATAATTTGGTAGTCGGTCATTTGACATGACGTTTAATAATGCGTTGTTAATAATTTGTCATCGTGGGACGTAAATATTTTAACAGACATTTATAATTTTGTAGATTGGTGATAGTAAATGCTGTGTTTAGATTAAACAAACATTGATTGGTGAAACAGGGTCTAAATCGAGCAGATTGCCTACCTGATGGAAGTAGTACCGTAGTTCATGGACATCCGTAGCATTAAAGACGTTGTGGATGTGTGTCACCCTTGATTAGGGATGAGAGGAGGAAAAAGTGGGAAAGGGAGGGAAAAGGAAAACGACAACCGGCTCTCTCACTGATGGGACAAAACGCAGCCAATAAAGGCTACTTCACGCCGATCTTCTGTGAGAGGGTAGTACTTCCCCGGTCGAGTCAGCTCATGATCGAGCTGTAGTAACTTGCCTACAGCTAGGCTCTTACCTATAAAATTACTTACTAGTCCCTGTTAAATTATCTTAAATTATCACAAGTAACTGTTATTATGATACTGTACAGAAGTGCTATGTGTGGTATAAAATATATGGAAATATGTGTTAAATTAAAAAATCTTACATTAGTTATACAGGGTGACTGGTGAATTACTATCGATACTTGAGGACGTGATATTTGACGATCATATATGACAAAATAAAAATTAATATAACATAAATATTAATAAACTTCTAAGTAAAGTTAACCAAAAGTTATGTAATTAATTACGCATCGTGTAGACACCCTAGCTGCGTTATCGACACAAAACAGTTTTGTAGGTAGGTACAAATTGATTGCGCCCGGCAAGCTATCATTTGCACGCGCATACGCACGAACCATGTCCAAGTATTCTGCATTTGTGTATTGATAAGCCATACTTAATTACTAATAAGTAATAACGGGTCACATTCACACACAACAGATTAGGTATACGCGTAAGATCGATCGCTAGGCGCGCGCGCGGGAAGACTTACGTACAGACCTTACGGCGGCGCTCGCCCGACTAATTAGCCACGGGGCGGGGGTTGGGGCTAGCGACACACGCGTGCGGCGGCGTCATGTTGTATCAGCACGCCGCCGCACGCGTTCACACTTGGAACACTTGGAACGTGTCCACACTTTATTTATTTATACGGAAATTTGGTCAAAAATTAAGTACCTATTTTTTTCACATAATTCGAATGAGAATCATGTACCGAGTATTCTCCTTGAATATTGATAGTAATTCACCAGTCACCCTGTATATAAGTATTAATTGAATTAGTGCGTGGTTCTTGGTGTAGGGTTCGACTCTCAATATATTTGTAAGTGTCTCATCTGTTTAAAGAGGAATGTAGCAAACAGTATAAACTGATATATTGAAACTGTATGCAACATTAATCTCTATTGAATAACATTTTATATCTAATACTTGAATAAGATACTTAACTATGTGTGAAGAAGTGTGACGAATAAAGGGACGAGATATTCTATGTGTAGTTCATGAGGGTAATAGATATTAGAGACAGGATTGCTCATATTTACCACTAGAGTCAAAATCACTTTCAAAAAATAATTATGAATATAAACTACATATAAATAACTAAACAATATTATTATTATCATTATAATAATACTAATACTGAGTAATACTTTACTTATTATATTGACATAATACAAATATATAACATTTTTTGAGCTCGTGACTTTAAATAATTTTAATTTATTTCGACTATTTTGTTATAAAAGATCATAATAATACAAATAACAGTCACTAACTAAATATTTTTTAATCTCTCTAGTTTTTGTATGTATACGATAGATATAGAGCACTGTCTCACGTACCCCACTAGAGGGGGCGACATTCGCTCGACAGACTCACGACTAGCGCGGAGCAGAACGGTGACGTGCGCTTGCGCTCTAGGTGAGGTAGTAGTGAGACAGTGACTAGTTATACTTACGTAGAGGACCTGGGAGTCCTACATTCTCATAACATATCTATATATTTTATTATACGTTTTAATCAATTTATCTGACCGTACGTTCCAGGTGCACGAGGAGATGCAGCGCATCGTCCAACACTGCGGCACAGAAGTACAGCAGGAGATGCAGCGCTTCCCGCGACTACACCAGAGGATAGTGGACGTGGTCACACAACTACTGAGAACTAGATTACCCGCTACCAACTCTATGGTAAACATATGGTTATAGATACATACACATCAAAAGACTATATTAAAAATCGTCATCATCATCAGGCTATCAGAGTCCACTGCTGAAATTATAAGTCCATGTTTCTTCACGATATTGTCCTTCACCGTCTGTCAGTGGTGTCGAAATACTCTTAGAAAGTACATATGACTCGGAAAATCACATTGGTACAGTTTTCGAACCCGCGCCCTCCTACTCGAGTGGCAGGCCTTTCTCGTCTGGGCCACCACGACCATGTAATTTTTATATCTTCGTATATATAGGTATATACAACATGTAACATAATTAACGCACACCCTCAAACACTCCAATTAGAATATAATAATATAAATGCAATGCATACCCCAAATATTATTTATATGTGCGTTAGCATTGTTTATTTGTGAAATTAGTTATCCCCAATTCGTGGCAATAATATGGTCAGCTATTCACCAACACTCCGCTGCGCACGCACACACAGACAGACTCAATGTACTCTCTCCGAGTGCCGTCCGACAATAATAAGTAGTAGGTTATAATAGGTACACGAAATAACTACATTATGATTTATGATTCTTCTTTCCATCAATAAATTTGTAAATAAGAATTATTAAACAGCTGATAACGTGTGATTTGATTAGACACCACAATAGCTACGACAAATTTAAACAAATTCGGCGTGTTTAAATGGTGTGAATCGAAGTATTTACAATAATTTAAAGATCATAAACAAACATAAAGTTTAATTTGCACTCGCACGGCGTTGTCGTTTTAAAAATTTTTCCAAAATGTCCACCGCCTTGTTCAATGCACTTTAATGACCGTTTTTGCAATTGTGGTTTTATTTTAGATAATATTGCAGTGTCACTTTTCACTATTACAAAGGCGGTTACTATCTTATTTTTTAGTTCCTCGGTACTTCTTGTCTCTGTGTTATAAAGTAGCGATTTAATTCGCCCCCACAAAGAAAGTAGAGTGGCGTCAAATCAGCTGATCGTTCGTAGGTATTTGCTGTGTGCCGGCTGTCGCTGTTGGTGTTGCGTGCGTAGGAATTTGTAAAATACTATTTTAGCCTTGAAACAAGTATAATTTTTCTTTAACTGAATGATGATTACTAATTTAATATTTCATTTAAAAAATCTTAATACCCTGACTTACGATCCATTTTCGTTTCTATGAAGTGATTAGATAACTGTGTGCAGGATGACTATAATTTACTTAGTCCTATCTAAATTTGAGAAAAAAATGACCTACATAAAAAACTATCAAAATCGATCCAGATTACTTACTTATTAAATTACTTTCAGGGTGTGCGTTAATACTTGAACTGCCCCAAAAAGCTGACAATTCATTATTTAAATGTTTATAAATAAACAATATCAAAATTCTTTAGCATTCTCTGTTGATGTGTTTCAGGTGGAGAATTTGGTGGCTATAGAGTTAGCGTACATCAATACTAAACACCCGGACTTCCACCGCGAGGCGGCGCTAGTGTCGGGCCTCTTAAAGAGTACCGACGGCATAGTAGAAGATCACAGCCCCATGTTCAGACAGAAACCTCGACCCGCCTCTACGGTAGCTACTGTCGTTAAATTATATATATATATTGTATGAGTTATATATGTGGAGCTAAAAATGGCTATCATTAACTAAGAATATCATCTGGTGAAGTTTACGTACTAACAGACACTAACACAATCACACACAGTAGCGGCTGTACCTTAAGTGCACTCGTGCGCTGAACCACCAATTCAAAAGATTTAAAAATTACAAAATATTACTTCATCTTTAAATTAACATTTTAATATTTATTTTTTAAACATACAAAAACGTACAAACAATTAAATTTCCTAAATATGGTCAAAAAGTTTGAGCGCTTTACTAAACTCATATCGTGCGCTTCGGTGGGTGCACGAGGACTGCCAATACATCTTGTATGAGATACGCATTAATACGCCTGACGCGTGAAACAAAAGATAGTTCATAGAAATGTTCCGAGTAATGAGTCGGTTCTCGAGCGCCGCACGAGCGGCCGAAGATTGAGCCGTTTTTGACATTTCGTAATGTTTTGTTGCATTTTCTAATTTTAATATTTTAGTAAAGTGCACCACCAGTTCTATTACCCACCAGCCGCCACTGATCACACATATATATATAGCAATAATTCTTTCTACACTTCAGTTCAAGATTGTCTTCCTTAAAGCTAAGCGTCACTGTAAATTTTCTCCGAATATAATTTTAAACAAAATTTTATAAATTTTACTGAGTTATTAATAAATAGACAATAATTTTTAATCTTCCTACGTTATTAGTTGTAGAATTTAAAGTATGTTCTGATAAAAAGACTGGAAGAATATTGATAACGATAATTGAGGATATATTTGAATTGTTTGTTTGTATGTGCCTATTTCAAGTGATGTTTGTAGAATTATGAAGTTATTTTTCGCATTATCCAGTAATATATATAAACGATACAAGCATTTTTTACCTTAAAATGAACCTAAAGCGCAGTCTCTTAGCATAATTTCACTAAAACAATAAATTGATTGTAGTTATTACTACGCCAAATGGGTGAAAGAGGGTCCGTGTTGGTACTTTTGGCCAAAATATTTGAGACGACCCACAGTAATAAGGTAAATAAAATACACAGCATGTAAAGACATTGACCATACATCGCTCGTTATAACAAGTCATGGCTTACAAACAATTGGACTCTCTTTCATCCGGCAGTAATGTAAGTTTGGTTACAATCTAGATACTAATTTAGTTTTAATTATCATACTAAATTAGCCATTCCATATAATCATATACAGGGTGACTGGTAAATTACTATCAATATTTAAGGAGAATACTCGGTGCATGATTCTCATTCGAATTATGTAAAAAAAAATAGGTACTTAATTTTTGACCAAATTTCCGTATAAATAAATAAAGTGTGGACACGTTCCCAGCCACGCCGCCGCACGCGTCTGTCGCTACCCCCAACCCCCGTTCGTGCGTATGCGCGTGCAAATGATAGCTTGCCGGGCGCAATCAATTTGTACCTACCTACATAACTATTTTGTGCCGATAACGCAGCTAGGGTGTCTACACGATGCGTAATTAATTACATAACTTTTGGTTAACTTTACTTAGAAGTTTATTAATATTTATGTCATATTAATTTTTATTTTGTCATATATGATCGTCAAATATCACGTCCTCAAGTATCGATAGTAAATCACCAGTCACCCTGTATAATGTTTAATATATGGCAACTATTTTTTTTGTGTTTAAATAATTCTAGTTTTTGTATGTATTACAAAGATGAATGGAAGTTAGAATAGTGCAAGGAGGGTGGAAGAATATTTAATATCAGTCGAAGTCGCGGGCTAGAGTTAGTTTTGTTATACTTTTCATTATATATTAGTTAATCATTATTTTTAACTGGTTTTCCAGCACGTGCCGGCTAAAACAGACGGTCAGGATAGATCGCCTCCACAGAACAACTTCGACTCCGCACCTCAGGTGGGTACATTAATATAGTTATGAAAACACTAGGAAACTATAGTTATGAAAACACTGTCTAAAAGCTAGAGAAAATCGGAAAAATTGTACTTAGAGTTACCTGAACATAAAAAAATTTCAAAAACCTTTAAAATCCCTGTATGCTTACAACTAGTCTGTGACGTGACACGCTCAAAACACTTCGAGTTTTTCATACATACATCAATATTCAGACTGTCATAAGTGAAGATGTATGAAGTTATAAAAATCTCAGTATGTAGTGTAATCATGGTACTAACAAACTCAATCTCTGTAGGTGAATGGCAGCCCTGAGAATAAGGCTTTGACGCCTCAGAAGCCTGTGAACCTGCTGCCGGAAGTACCCAGCCAGACCTCCCGGAAACTGTCGGACCGAGAGCAGCACGACTGCGACGTCATTGGTTAGTATATTATATATATGTATGTATGTATGTTACAGTGTTACTCATATAAAGAGTAGACTATGACACTTTAATATTGTTATGTTCATTAATTTTACTAACTAACATTTTATTATGTCATATCTTGGAACAAATATATACATATATCGTCGAGGATAGTGCAAATCCGCATAATAATAATTTACGGTTTAATTTATTACTAATGGTGAAATAATTACCTTAAAAGTCATTAATTTAGAAATTATTTCAGCTTAAACTTTCTTCTCATAATTTTCCAATGTAGATACACGGAATTATCCAATGCTAGTTACGCTAAATTGCACTATCCAGGACGATATATAATATTAAATATATGTGTAGAAGCATAACACGTGATAAATTTGGTTGATGCTAGGTGCGAGGGAGCATGTGTACCAAAAGTCTAATAAGGTAGTCGACGGCATCTGTATGATGCAGTTGAACCATATGGGTGACCTCGTGGGTGAGGAGACATTACGTTTATAGGTTTCCTGCCACCTCTCATCTCCACGCTTGTTGCTTGACGCTTCCTACATCAATAGATGTGGTCTTGCTGTACTATCGTTTTATTTTCGTATTAATTTCTAACCTTATATACTTAGTCATGTATGTGTTCTATGTCATATATCGCACGCGCAGTGTTTTCACACGTCATCGTACAAACCATTCGTTCGTATCGTCCATCGTTGATGAGTGAATGAATGTTCCGTTCTTCCAGAGCGCCTGATCAAGTCGTACTTCTACATCGTCCGTAAGTCCATTAAAGACTCGGTGCCCAAGGCCGTGATGCACTTCCTCGTGAACTATGTGAAGGACAACCTGCAGTCGGAGCTGGTCACTCACTTGTACAAGTCGGACCAGGCTGAGAGTCTGCTCAACGAGTCCGAGCATATCGCGCAGAGGAGGAGGGAGGCCGCTGACATGCTCAAGAACACCGCTCATACACACAGACACACATGTACACACATACAAACATTCACACACACACACACACACACACACACACAGATACATATATATTTACTTACATACATTCTTACAAAGACATTTACAGGATTCTAGCTTCAAATCCAGCTCGTATAGTAGAATCTTTCATTATATTTGACTGTATCCAGGTACTAGTTGATCATTACTAATCGTTTTGTATCTGATACATACAGGCGCTCCAGCGAGCCGGTCAGATCATCAGCGAGATCCGCGAGACTCACATGTGGTGATGCTCCGCAGACAACCCTCGTCTTAGTGAAATGAACTGTGAACGACTTCAGTATGACTCAGCAGAAGAAACCTTCTCATGATATATATTAATAGGTGTATGAGATGTATCTGAACGTCATACTGAACACCCTGTATATAAGTTAACTGTTCCCAGTCTGTCGCACGCCGCTCCTCATGACAGTTGTTCTTTGAAATTATGAATTTAACCAAATATATGGAGCCAAAGCGTTGATCGCGGATTCCGTTGTTATTAACACGAGATTTAATCGTTGGAAACTGTTGCTTTGTCGAGAACCGAATTTGTATCGTTTTTTTCATTATTTCATAGTCTCAGTTACCATTTCACTTTATTAGGTGTTTTATTAAGTCTTAGATACAATGTACTGGATGAGGTCTGTACAGGTGATTGTGGTTCAATGTTATATCTTAAGATATATCTGCATATAGATTGAGACTTATACAATTTGTTTTGTGGCATATTGAATTATTTTAAATGATCGTTTTTTCTTTATTAAATTTAATAAACGAATAGATAAAAAAGTGTGAAAATAATTGATATTACTATTTAAAATCTGTTTCATAATATTTGCATCTAAATAATCTTAATGAAATCTGTACAGATCTCACCTCACTATAATTTAGTATCAGTGATATTATATATATAAACCGCTATAAGTGTCGCATGTGTATTGAAGGGCTGGTGATTATTTTAATTTGCTTATTTTATCACTATAGATTGGCTCTTGATTTTTACTATTTATATGTTTTGCATCGTTTTATAGAAAGTTCCTGCATCGTGTAGTCGCATGTATCATGAGAGATGTTGTGTTTATGAAGGATTTAGTCACAATTTCTAATAAAATGTCGTATTCCGCTCCTAGCGTATGTATTTATTGTTGTAGTCCGTGTGAAAAGAATTGAATGTTGAAAGAGATGTATTGAGTCTGTTAAAATTATAGATTATTGAGATGTGATGTAAGACTTTTATTTGAACCTGGAAATTTTATAGCAGTATTCAGAAACCTCTCAGCATTCCATGGTTTCACCGTGTGGGTGCCGGGTCTATTGTTGCAATGAGAGGAGCTTCAACAGTGTCTGGGACTTGAGACCCAGGTGTAGGTTTAAGGCGCCCCTATTTAACGCGTTAAACGCTTATTTCCACTGTCCAAGCTCCTCTTCCTACCTAACCAAATTTGAAAAGAACCTACTAGGGCTGCCTTCAAAGTGCATTCCAAGAATGTATTAATGTTCTGGATAAGCCCAAGTCTTTTTGTAGAGAGATTTAGCTGTTGAACCTCCCACTTCTACCGCGTATAAATCCACAACCAATCTATTTAGAGTGAGTTCGTTAGTGAGCTCATAATGTTTGTTGACCTTGATGGTATGGTCTTTGGGGATGTTGGTTTCCCAAGGAACCGTAAGCTCTGTCATCACTACGCGCCTTAAAATTAGCGAATACAAAAATATGTCTGGTCTGAAGGCCGACATACAAATATCCTCGTGGATTTTGTATTCTTTTTCATGTGTCCATCATTATAGTCTCGTTATATTGATCGTTCGTTAATAATTAAATTCACTTCATAACGTAATTTTACCATGAATACCTGCAGCCTTGTTAGAAACTTAGTTGCAACTGAAAAGGCGCGAGGGGGTATTCGACGGTTTGGCATGTGGGTATTCATATTAAACTAATTTTATTAACCTTTGCGGAATTTAATGGTGAAATTTTCGTGCCATATTTTTAAAGAATTAAATAACAAACTTAAGTGTTTCTATTTATGATAAAAGGAATAAATATTATATTTAAATGTATGTAATCACAAAAATAATTAATTCAATAAAAATTTAGCAACACACTTAAAGATTTTGTTACATTAATACACACAATAATAAAATTTAGGAGACGTGAATAATTTGGACACATTATTTTTTAGATATAAATAATAGGTGTAGTATGTAATGACGGTATTTGATTAGAGCGGGTTTTAGATATATTAATGAAAAAAAACAGCAGTAGGTATTTTTATAAAACATTTAATGGCAGTTTTAGTCCAATAATGGATTGGCTAGTTTCAAGATTCACCCTTTTACGCCATACAGTTTATAACTAGATAGTAATAATGGTTAAAATTATTAATTACTTCATAATTATTCTAAGCTTAACGTTACTTATATTCTAATATTATTTGGAATTCATATTATATAATATAGCCAACTAGTGCTATCAATATTATAAATAGGATGCAAGTGCTAGGCTGGGGACTGTTAATACCAGTTGTGAAGCAATAAGCGTCTAAGTGGATGTACTACCTAATTTATTACTAACACTTCTTATTAGTCCTAAGTTGTCTACTATTAAAGTGGCGACTAAATTTAAATTTTAACTAGTTTTAATATTTAGCAATGGAACAAAATTAACTTAACTAATTTAACGGACGGTAATTAACAAACGTGTCTCTCAATCTCCATTTTTTTAAACAAGCCACTTTCCGATTTTCGTTGGCAGTCTCCCCTTTTGTGACAATCGAAATAGGGTTTACAATTCAGACTATATAAGTGTTGTTCTTATTTCCCAGTATAAGCATGCACGACCTACATTTTATGGTGGTAGATCCTAGCTGCCGTCAAATTACTGCAGCTCGAACATGGGCTGGCTCGACCGGGGAAGTACCAGCCTCTCACAAAAATCTGAGTAAAGTAAATGGCTGCCTTTCGTCTGATGACTGAGAGAACCGGTTGTTCTTTCCTTTTTCCCATCCTTTCCTCTCCTTCCTATCCAATCAAAGGTGGCAAGGCATCCGCAAAATACTTTCGAGGATGTCTATGGGCGACGGTCCTACCTCTGTCAAGTAGGACGTCTGCTCTTTTGCCTCCTTTGTCATATAAAAAAAGAGTATACGTGAAGGTCTCTGCCCAAATGTTCATCTTGGGCATCAGTGTTAAATGTGAACCGAGTTGTTTCGTTAATGGAATTGTCACGTCCGTTGTTCCTCAGCCGTCTGTTTCTATTCATGTTCTCTATGAATGACGTGTTCATTTCACCAAGATATCTGTGTATACTAATATAATTCGAAGTTGGACGGTGAGATTGTTGGTAACTTGAGCAAGTGTAATTTCTTTAGATAGTGTCTTGATTATCACGAGCTCGTGAACTTTCTGGTGCAGTAATATCGTCTGGAGGAATACAGCAACGGAAAAATTTGCAGTATGTCCTGTAAAATTCATTACGATATTTTCCTGCAAAGAAATAAAAAGTGATGAATTATTCCTAAAATTATTGGGATGGAAAGTATGAGTGTAAATTTGGAAGTGGGTGTGAAAGTTCTCTTAACAGGCCGGGTACATCAAGGGTCGGCCCTAAGCTTTTTTTTTAACACCGCTATCGACTATATTGTATGTACGGACGATGTTGTAGGTACTAATTTCTGAAAATGAGGGCGACCTACAAAATTGTTTCAGTCGATGGAAAGAAGCTTTGAAAGGTAACGGCCTGATTATAAGTAGGAAAAATAATGAACATATGTCTTGTGTTTTTGATTGTATCTCAAACAGAGCATACATCAAAATGTACAGAGAGAATACCCCACTCCCTCAGGTTGATACTTTTAAATATCTAGGTTTTATTATAAGGCACAATGGAAAAATCCATAAAGATGTGGAATATAGAACCACCACAGTATGACTCAAATCGATACAACTAACAGGTATTATGTGTGACAATAAAATACCACTGAGGGTGAAAGGCAAAGTGTATAAAGAAACGGTTAGACCTGTAATCCCTTATGGCTCGGAATGTTGGGCGACCACAAAACAACATCTTGTAATATACATATATTTTCATTATTTAGACATAATGTTAAAGCCCTTTTCCTTAGCTAATATTTTTATTATATAAACCCTTTTACTAAAATATTATATAAATGAAATCAGATAAATCAAGACACTCACCGCTCATACAGTTATATATGAGAGGATTCACAGCGGCGTTGACGTAGCACATGACGTGAGATATCAGTGTTACGACGGTCATCATGTCACTGTGTTGTACATTGTAGACAATTCTGTACACGTTAGAAATGAAATTAAATATAAAATAATACATATGTTTTTTAATTAAGTTTTTCCCATCAAACTATTCCAGGCTAAATATATTTAATTTCTAGTAATCTGTGAACTCCCTCGAGACAATGTACGTACATTAACTTTAATATAGGAATGAAGGTATAAATTAAAAACTAAAACTATCTTCCGAGAGGGTTTCAAATTAGAAATCAACTTAATATTAGGTTAGTGCTATGATCTTCATCTTCTTCCTGTCAATTTCCCAGCTTTGGCCAGGATCTGCCTTACATTTTGTAATTATTTTTGGCTAATTGTTTTTACGACCGACCGTCTGCCTGACATCAACCCTCTTTGGGAATACATTAATAATCACCACGCTTGCTCAAAAGACTGGTTGGTGATTTCAAATTTATAATTGTGAAATTATAAGTCCAGGTTTCCTCACGATGTTTTCCTTCACCGTCTGTCAGTGGTATCTAAATACTCTCAGAAAGTACATATGACTCGGAAAAAACACATTAGTACTTGCCAGGATCGAACCCGCGCCCTCGTGCACGAGAGGCGGGCCCTTAAACTATGATATGATATAAGCTTTTTAAGAAAAATTAAAGTCTTGTATGAAGAAATTTTTAAATAAACAATTATTAATTTGTATTATGTTACAACAATCATATTAATTTTACAATGTTTAATATCAAGTCGTACACTGGAATACAACTTAAGAGTTAAAGAGAAGGTTTTCAAATCAGATATGTTGTTTTACTCTTTTAAGTATATTAGTGACCTATCGATGATTTATTTGTAACACTATAAAAGAGAAAATATTTACCTCAGAACACATAAAAGGTGAACAGGGAAGAAGCAGAGTGCAAACATGGTTACAACAGCTACCAGCATCTTTGCTGCCTCCCGGTGAGAGCGTAGTTGTCTTTTGGCAAATGCGTTGGCATGAATTAACGCAATCTTAGGTCTTCTGGCTGCAAACCCTGGTTGGAGTATAATATTAACTTGCAATAATTGAGAAAAAATATTTATTCTTTTTTATTTCCAAAATATTTTTCTGTCGACTTCATGAAACTCATTTTTAAGATTTTTATATAAATTGATTAAGTACGTAAGTAGTTTTATTACACATACACGATTTTTTTGTGCATATTTGACTTTTAAAATAATATTTAATTTCACGACGTTATAAAGTCTGAAAGTGTGAAATGAACTTCTTTGATTTTATTTTGAAAAATATAAAGTAAGTTTAATTTTTTACAACTCTAAATGAATTTAATAATATTAGACTAAATTTAAATTACTTTTAATAGAAATTTGAAATAAAAAATGAATTTTATTCAAACAGAACAAAATTAAATTAAATTTTAATTTTTATGACAAAGTACGCCAATGAGCAGAAAGCCCGCTCAATGGAGATAGTATATACTGTCACCTATTTACATCCGCAACATAGTTTTGCGGATACGTTGCCAGCTTTGATTGGAGAAAAGAAGAAGGAAACGGTGGGAAAAGGGAAAGGGCAACTGGCTTCTCCTCATCAGACGAATTGCAGCCACTGAAGACTAATGAATTTTTAAGAAAAGGGAAATAAAAAAGACGTCAAAAAACCACAGATTTTCCAAAAAAAAAAAATTTTTTTTTCATCTCAATAGCTGGCATGGCACATGAAATGAATTGGCCAAATTGAGCAATGGATAATTTAGAAATTTATAAACTGCCTGTGGGAAACTATGTAGATTTAAAGAAATCTACATTGTTTTCCTGGAAAGCCATGTACTTAAATAACACATTTGTAAGTAATAAAAACTTACTATTTGTCTGTACATTTCGACGTAACTGGTGTAACTGTATTTGTTCTAAATTGTTATTGGATCTCCAAAGGAATTTCACAATATGCCAGTAGGCTACCGTCATCAACATGAGCGGGAACCTGTAATGGAATTATATTCCAATACATATGTATATGTATTCATACAAGCTACAAAAAGTCATAATATATTTAAAATTATCTGTAAACGATGCCTTTAAATATGCCATATTTGCATAAGAGTCTAAACTCTAGAGGACAAATATCATTTCAATTTGTCATATTTAAAATTGATAATACAATTATCCCGTCTAACAATTTGTGTTAACGTTGATAATGAAAAAAATTCAAACCAGTGTGCTTTAGACCACAGGACTGAATTAAAACTTCTTTCGCACCATTTACTTATATGTAATGTGATAACAAAAGACATCGTGAGGTAAGGAGAGTTTTACTTCCAATTTTACTTTCTTTATATATTCATAAAGTTTTCATGTGCCTCCACAATGAACGGTTGGAAAATGTTGAAAAGACTTGGCTCTCCAGCCGTTTTTATTGAATACTAAAGAAGAAATGTGTTCTTTACAAATTATTTCTAAAGATATTCAATTTCAATCCAAATTCAATTGCTTATCGTTTGCCTATAATAGTTTGATTGCATTTTTATAATAAATATACAATGTTTAACTTTACATGTATAGGAACAGCGCTCTCATTAATTGGTACATTAATTCACTCCCTTCTGGCCAAAGGTAGCTGCACTCAATGGAATACTGCTGGTGAAAACGTAGCTCAATGTTTCTTTGTAGTGCCAACATCACAAATTCAGGTATATCTATAAATTACAATGAAGTAAGTTGTAAATATTTTTGTTTTAAATTAATCTGGTGATAAGTTTGTTTATTGATTTGAGCTGGATTGCAGTAATTTCGGTACAAAACGTTTTTGGATAAGATATTAGGAGATGGTAAATATCTCAAGTAAGTAAAAACATTGTCAATTCTATAAAAAGAATATAAATGTGGGTGATGATGTAATTGACAATTAAACAATAAATATATTACATGTGTTTCAATTATGAATCGTTAGAAATTTTGGTAAAATTATTATTAAATTTTATATAAATCAGATACATTATTGTTCATTTAGAGATTTATATTTTTAAATTAATATTTATTGTATAAAAATGTACAAATCAAAATATATACAAGTTATTTTTGCGAAAATAATTATATAATAACAAGTTTTCTTCATGTTATTAAAGATTAAAATATCTTAGTACCTAGTCCTGATGGAATTGACGAAACTGAAGAAATAAATATTAAAACATCATTCAGTTTAACGTTGGAACTCTTGTCCTGGTTACGTTTTAAATTCCATGTGAGATACTTTTAGATAATTATATTAATATAAAATTAATAATTACTTACTCAATAGGACAGACAATATCCATATAATAAGTATTGCAGTTTTTGCTCGGCTGGTGGTTGATTTGAATTTCATAGGATAACAGATGGCGTACCAACGATCCAGAGATATGAAGGTAAGTGTGAGCACTGACACGGTTTCTGAAACGGACTGTAACAAACATGACTATTAACATAAAGTTAAATACTATAACTGTGCATGCATTCATTATTAAATTACGATAAGAAATCGTTTAACTCTGAATCAAATGAATGAATTTATGATGGTGAAGTTTTATACTTTGTGCAGATAATATACCTGAAAAAAAAGCCAAGATTAGTGATTAAAATTTTTGTATATTGATTACTAAAACATATTAATTAAAGGGATGGTTATATCGTGCGCCAAGCCACAATATAAAAGGTGTGCATGTTGTGGTGTTGCTGAGACGTAAAAGGCTGCAACGGGCTGACTAGTAAAATTAAAATACGTTTCGGTTACTTTACAGCAACCGTGATCACGGGCAGACGAGATGTGAGTGTCTTTGTGAATTAATTCTTTGTAGATAATTTTATGATCTACAATTTTTGTCTGAGATATTTTTATGATAAAACTTACCGTTTTGCTGAAAATCCCGAAAAAACTCATTTTTTTTTACCTCTGACCTTGAATAAAATTTTTTCCTTACAGGGGAAAGATGAGGAACTTGCAAATTTTGTTTTTAATGATATTTTAAACAATCTTACCGATTTTCAGCTTGGCGGGAATTTAGGTAACTTTACTCTTATTTTTTGGTCTAATTTGACCGGACTAATATTAAAGTTAAACCTATATTGTTTAATTCTTATTTATATATTTTTAATCATATGTAACGCAATACGTATGTTTTCATACATTTTATGTGAATTGAATAGTTTACAAAATCGTTATACATAAGTGCTATCTATCAATGTAAAAACACAACTGCACAACTACTCGGTGCATTTGCATGTGTGTTAGCGTTCGAGAAGCATTCCTTCTTTAACTTTACTCTTTTAAATCGTTATAGAAACTGAATTGTTTTGTTAAATGAAAAGGGACAATTTAATTTGTCGGTATTTTGTTAATATTGTCTTTCTTGTCGCAAGTGTATAAGTTTTAATTTGCTAATTAGTGAATTGATTGAAGAATTATTGAAAATTATAACTGTGAGCTCTTCAATGTTGATATGTCTTTAACGAAATTAATTACGAGTACATTTTCAATGTTGAAGTGAATTACAAAGGGAAGATGTGTGAACAGTTTAGATTTAACAAAAAAACGGTAACGTTACTCCTTTTAATAAAAACTATTAAAATTGTTATACATAATAAGCTAGGAAGTTGTGAACACACAAATAAGCTGTTTTGTAGTCCTTGCTTATTGTTTTCAAAGAATGATTTGGATCTCCACTGGCTATTCCGATTTAAATAATTTTGATAAATGGGGGGTGAACAGATCGTAATCGTTTTAAGTTACTTTATTGGTTCATAGTTCGTTGATAGATTTACAAAATATAAGATGTTAGTTCTGATCGGACTGCTGTAACTTTATTCGCGAATATTATCAATATTTTAGAGGAGTAAATTATGATGAAAACTGGTATTTTTATCAAACAAATTATGCTTACCCTACCCCAAATCTCTACTCATGTCCCTGCTGTTGATAAAGCCTTAGACGATGGAGAAGCTGTCAGAACAACTAGACTGCTTGAGGCATAAAACGCGACTATGACAGAAAAGTTAGAAAACCTCACAAAAGTATACATCGTTAATGCTACAGACATCTCATTGGATCCTAAAACATATGGTACAAAACCATGTGTTACATGAGGAATACATAAATGAAGAACCTAATAAAATAGGTGTTATACCAAACCATCTCAAATTGGGTGTCGGCTCTCGAGCCACGCTAAGACGGACCATCAGTTACAGTCTTTTCAGTTGAATTTTAAATTGAATGAAACTAATATTTTTCGGATATACTACGGAAACTACTACGACTACTACTACTACTTCAGATTTTTGTAAAAATAAAGCATGCGTAGTATATCCAAACACTATTAGTTTCATTTAAATGGTTAAAACTGGCGAAAGTCTTAGATTTCTTTATGAATTATCTAAGCAGGCGAGTTTTTCGTTTATTTTTTTAAATTATTATTTTATTAATTGCTACATTTCATGTATTACTTGCTGTTACCTGCGACATAGTCTACGTAAAAAGCAAAAACGTATGAAAAACTTTAAAGTATTGCACATAGGCACTATGCACTATTTTTAGAAATTCTAAACTAATAAAAATAAATTAAGTTACTTACTACGTGATTCCCTACTTATTTAATTGAAGTAATTAAAATTCAAGCAAACTTGAGCAGTGTATCTACTGATATAATAAAACGTAATGTAAGCAAATCCGTTGCATTAAATTATCTTAAAAATTGTATACGTCTGACAGTGGCGTCTCCCTTCATGCGTTTGACCCCAGTGACCGTTCGGGTAATATACTTAGGGTCGTCCATTCTCTGCTGCCTCGGGACCCGTAGCGGCAGCACTGCTTGCGACCTACCTCCCGTCGCACTTGATTACTTATAATTTCGGGATCGAGATAAAAAGTAGCTTTTGTGTTATTCGAGAGTTCTATCTATTTCTATACAAAAATGTATCAAAATCGGGTTAGCGATTTAGACGTGAAAACATGACAATGACATTTTGTCATTTATAATATTGGTAGGGATTAATTCAATTAATATTTTTTATAAACAAAATGTTCAATTTCATTATCCTAATCTTTGTGTTATAATTTTATTTATTGGATAAAATGAGTTTCTATTTTACCCATAGTATCTATTTTACCCATATTATTTTAACAATAAGTATCAAATCGTATATTTAAGACATAATTTATTCTACAACTAGACATTTGGGTGATTGATTGATTAAAAATGATTCTAATTATTTTGGGTATTTCTTGATGGTAACATTAAGATAAAAGATAATTTGTAGTTCTTGTAGAAAATAAACATCCTTAGAAGTACCAAGTAAATATTTTAGTAGAAAAAGGATTAGCTTACTTGTAAATAAAGAAGTATGCCACATGATGTTGTCCCGAAAAACCAAGTTTTGGTTACAGCAAACAAGATGATCGGCGGCAAACATAAAAGTATGACCAAAAAATCTGCCACTGCTAAGTTCAGGAGAAAATAATTAGACGCGTTCCTCATTGACTTATTCTGGTAAATAGCGAAACATACTAGGACATTGCCAATTAATCCAGACACAAATACTAGGACATATACTATAATCAGAATCGTCTTGTATGATATAGGGTAGACATACTCGTGTGTCTTTTCTACATATCCTTCTTTTGTTTCAATACAAAGTGTGGGATCAGTAACGCAAGGTATTTCATCATCATTATTATCCACATTTTCAGTTGTAGCTTCATCTGATCTGTTCAATAAGGTTGTGTCTAAATCATCAACGTTTTTGTCTTGAATATTTTCTCTTGAATGATTATTTCCAATGCTCAGATGTATTTTGCTCAAAATAATAACATATAAAATTGCTAATATTACTCTTGGTGCCATGAGTTTATGTTAATATTTCTAGACCACACGAAATATTTTTTATTAAAATCAGTCAATATTCTTCACACTCGATAATACTTCAAAATATTTTCCACCTGTAAATAAAAATGGTCCAAATATATTTTGGGTTTCAGATGTCACTTTATATAACAAATGTAAATGTATGTATGTAATGACAACGAGAGGACTATTAAGGAAATGAAAAAGTTAAAACATTCTGTTTGTTTTTTATATTACATGTTTGAGCAACTACTAAAGTAAAATTCTCTACAAAAAATATGGAGAGACAATGAGACTAAAAAAAGACTATATAATAAAGTGTTAAGTGTTTTTCTAAAAAAAATCTTAAAATATTGTTTAAAAAAGTTTTAGATTTATAAATTATTTTAACAAGTTAAAATGAACGTGGTTTTCGGAATAGGTACATACTACGCGTTTTTATTATTTTGTTTTTAGATTTTCCCGACGTTTCCGGAAAATTCATTTTTATTCTGAGGTTTGAGATACAGAAGTCATAAAATATATCAAAAAATATGTATATATTTCGGAAATAAGCATCAAACGTAAAAGCAGTGATGTTGATAACTCGATACATACATATGCATATACATATAATCGAATATAATCTAAATCTAAGTATAGATTTACTGGTAATTCAATTATGACTTATTAACATACTACAAACTAAGGATCGGTAATGAATAGTGATGAAAACCCAATACTGACTATTCACGATATTTTGTTTATCGACTAATTACCAGGTATTATTTAGTGAATGAAAGCCTGATAGTTGAATGAACGTGGAAAGGGATGGTGTCCATTTCACGTTTCACAAATAGCGTCCGCAATTTGATGTTTTTGCCAATATTAACCCTAATATTTTCAGAATAAAACTAAAATAAAGTTGCTGTGTCAATATCCGCACAACTCAGCTCATGTTATTTCAGTTTAGCGCCATGCTTGATAGTCAAAAACTTAATCTTAATAAACTGACGAAGCCAACATTTTATTTTTGTTATGACACGCTTGCGTTGAACTCTCGCAGATAAAAAGTATATTAGTATATATTAACTGTTTTGTAGTATTAATTATATCGTCATCAGCCAATCAGACACCCACTGCTGAGTAAAGGCCTCTTTCTCACATGGAGAAGGTTTGAGCATTAAATACCACGCTTGTTCAAGATGGGTTGGTGATTTCAAACTTATAATTGTGAAACTATAGAAGGGATATAGGGATACTCGGGTCTCTCCGGAGGTCTGAGTTCGCTTGTGGTCGGTCGGTTTCCTCTGTGTTTGCCGTCGGGCGCTTGCGCTCGTCGGTGGGTGGTTGGAGACTGGTCGCGTGGGCTTCGGTGGGAGGGATAAGGGGTTAACCCCCTCGCGATTAAGCAAGCCCGATAGGCGGGGGGACGCTCCTGATAGCTTGGAGTGAGCCCTCAGAGGGTGGGGGGAGGTGGCCGTTCGCGGCCTGCCGCCGGATATATACTTCTTCGAGGATATATGCTTCTTCGACTTACGTGGCGATCAACTAGGCGGCGCCGGAGAGTGGCCGCTGGTGTTTTAGTAGATAGCATGGGCCCTTCTGGCCCATGAATCCCACATAACCGCCTTTGTCTCTGCTAGACGGAGGGGTAGGTATAAAACCTTTCACCGCGATAACAAAAAAAAGGTTAACTTCACCCTTTTCTGTGTTGACATTTGATGATATGAACGTGTGGTGGCGTCACTAAACCGATATAATGATCACTTATGATTGAAAATATATTTTAAAGGAATAATTTTTAATTAATAATTACATAAAAAATATTTTTTTCTTTTGATCTTTACTGAAACTGTCTTAATAATTTCGATTAAAGTTTCGAAAAAAATATATATATAATCACAAAACATGCAACCTCTCTATTGCTCCACATTTCTTAATACCTTCTCGTAGCGAGGCTTCTAACTTACATTTTATTGTCCTTAGGAACTTAGTATGCTTAAAATATGTAAGTGCACATAATAAAATTGGAAAACCTTTTAAACCTTTTCTACGTTATTTATTATGGAATATGAAAATAGATTTCTATATCAATTGTGTAACAATTTCTAGCAAGCCCGGAAAGGAGTTCAATATAAATTCTAAATTTATTAGAGGCTGAACTTAAATTTACTTTGAACTTTGATCAACTCAGAATAATGTGTATTTTTAATTTTTATTTTTAAGGTTAATGGAGCAAACGAGCAGACATCCTAGCGGATGGGAAACAGTTAAGTCGTCGATGGAAATCTGCAACATGGTGGCAATTAAAACTAATTGACGTTGATCTTCCGTGAGAGGGTGGGACTTCCCCGATCGAGCCAGCCCCTGTTTAAGCTAAAGTTCCTTGATCACAGCAGTAGGATAGTTCAGTTTTTCAAAGATTTTATTTTGTTTTGTTGATGAAACCAGTACTTGTAATTTTTTCATAACAATTTTGACTCATATTGTTATTATTCATAAATATTTTAACAAATTTATAAAATAAAATCAAACCTACATTTATATTTGCATATTTGAAAAGGATTGTTTAATGAAATCACAAGGTACTTCAATAATGTTTGCCGGCGATCCGCCTTTAGATCTCGTGGCGTCGGTTAGCGCCGAGCTGTTCTCCTATGTCTCGTGTAGGAGGGCACTCGGCGAGAACCCTTCGGCGGAGGAGATCCGAACGGTTCGCCGGCAGGGGGAGGAGCGCCTTATGCGGGAGTGGGGGGAGGACCTGGCGGAGCAGCCGTACGGTAGACGTACAAAGGCAGCGCTTCGCCCGGTCCTAGAGCGTTGGATGAGGCGGACACGCAAGCCCCTCACTTTCCGTCTGCTGAGGTATTAACCGGGCACGGGTGCTTTGGTTACTACCTGTGTCGGACGGCCAGGAGAGAGCCGGGAGAAGGCTGCCAATAGTGCGGCGCTGCGGTGGACTCGGCCCAGCACACCCTCGAGGTGTGCCCGAAATGGGCTGCGCAGCGCCAAGACCTTGTGGCGGCTCTCGGCGGACTGGACTTGTCGCTCTCGAGTATCGTGGAGAAGATGCTCGAGAGTGATAGGTCCTGGCTGGCGGTGTCCTCCTTCTGTGAGACGGTCATGTCCACGAAGGAGGCATCTGAGCGGGAAAGGGAGAGGGCGGCTGATGCTCTCTCCCTCCGCAGGCGACGTACGGGGGTGCGACGGAGGCAATTCCAACGCCTCAAATAGCACCCCTGTATTCCAGGCTGGGGTCGGCGTGGTAACCCGGCCCTATTAAAAGCTCGACGTCGTCGGGGTGGTCCTAATTGCCGGGATCACCCCCATTCTCCGAGGGAGTAAGTCCGGTCTTTGCCAGGTCCGGCCGGTCGCTGGTGTGCCCTGTCGCTGACAGATTCGGGGTACACCGACATAGCGGCCGATGGCTTTCGCAGTAGTTTTAGTGAGTAGGGGCCTGCCCAGGCATAGCCTCACACATCCCTTCCGGCCCCACCAAGGCCGGCTGGACGGCTCGTAAAAAGAGTTTCCCTGCGACATCAAAAAAAAAGAAGGTACTTCGATAAATTGCATTTATACAATCAATTAACTTGGTAATCCTTCATAAGTCCTACAAATATACAAAGCTAATAAAAACGAGTTTATTTTTTAAGAGGATTAAAAAATAGGATAAAATGCAAAAGAGATTAAGTCGAAAACATTAAAGATTCACTTAGTAAATTAAGCGTCGATAAATATATTCTTCTTTAAAATCGTATTTCATAATCAAAAAATTAACTATTCAGAGAAATAAAAATGTTATTCTTTTCCGTTATGCCTTTGAAACAAGTTAGAGGATTAGTAATAAGAAATAACATAAATTAATATTAGGTAGGTAAAAAATAGATCATGATTTTAAATCCTCCTCATGTTTTTTAATATAGTTTAAGTCTTTTAATTAAGATAATTATACGAAATTAATTACCTCTAGCAGGTGCTTTCCTTTTTTGATTTAAATGAAAGCATATCTTTAACCACCCAATAAATAGCACAAGAAAGAAGTAACAAGCAATCTATCTACAACGGTATCAATTAAATATGAAATGGAAGAAGAAACTATGCTTACCAACAAAAATTGAAGGAATATAAAATTATATCAATCATCATCATTACTTATTATACTAGTATTACAAAGTCCCCCGCTGCGTCTGTCTGTCTGTCTGTTCGCAATAAACGGAAAACTACTAAACCAATTATCAAGCAATTTTCATCACTCGATAGCGAAACAAAACTGCGAAGGAAGTTAAATTTTCACTTAAATAATGTGTACCCCAAGTTAGCTTCGTCACTGTATACCGAGCATTAGCAATTTTTAAACGGTTTTAATTAGCTCACCCCGTTTGTTTTTTTAAACGGTTTTATTATTTATTATTTATTCTTTCTTGGGTCAAATTTAGTAATTCAAATTACACCCTCTTCCTGTCAACCGATTAATCAGAAATTTTGTATACACTTTGTATTTTGGTGACAATACAATTATGTTTATTCATTATCATTATAAAATCAAGTTGGCCGCCGCTACAAAATGGCGGATAATTTATGTTTTACCAATCCCATCAATATGGGTTACAATTGAAAGTGCTCAACTAGTAGAATACAATGTACTATAAAAAAATTAAATCCAAGATGGCGGCCTCTACAAAATGGCGGATAACTTAGGTTTTATCAATCCCAACAACATGGGTATCAAATGAAAGGTCTCAAAAAGTAGAATACAATTTACTATGCTAAATTGAAATCTAAGATGGCCGCCGCTACCAAATGGCTGATAACAATTTTTTAGAGGAGTTGGACTGCAATAAACTAACGGGCAAGAAACCTTGCAATAATGAATTAAACAGAATGCGAAATAAAAATTAAAAACTAGAAAATAAAAATTGGTAAAAAAACTTTTTAAGTTAAACGGTTTTACGTGAAACATACATTGAAATGTTTAAGATAAATGTTCTAAAAACCAAAAAAAAAATTATAAAATAGAT